TATTCAATTTGATCTAATCATATCTTATCAAAATGTCTTAACATGTGTTGCAACCATTGAAACAATTATTACACAAAAATCGAAACAGTCAAAATTATTGAATTCTGTATAGGCACTGTGGTATTGTGTGGCAATCCCACGGTAGAACTGGGGGTTGTTGTCACCCAGGACTCTCAGCCAGAGGGGCTGAGCAGTTCCAGGAGGCAAGATCCTGTACAAATAACTGACTTTGTGGTTCTTCCAAGGATGTCTGAATTTGGCATGGGATCCTGGAACTGGGAGATTTCGAAGAGAATTGGGAGGGATGAAATCTCCATTCCTGGGTCCATTGTTTATTAGTGGCCAGCACCTAATGATGGCACGCCTGTGCACAGCCCTTATGGAAAGAGTGCTGGCTAATGCTCTGGGTAGAGCTGCAGCTAACGATTATTTTCAAAATCGATTAGTTAGCCGATTATTAAGTTCGATTAATCGGTTAATCGGATAGAAAATAAAATATATTTTTAAAAATGGCTCCGGTGATGGGACTACTAGTTTGTATTGAGATTGCAGTCCATCACAGGAGCAAGCTTGGAGCGGTGGAAGTAAAAAAGAAAAAAAAGAAAGTGTGGTGTGCAATATAGTGAAATGAAAAGTGTAAAATTATATAGCAATGGATGCAGAATGGCACCAGCTATAGAGGACTACAAAACCCAGCAACTCTGGGCTCCAGCTGGGAAGAGGAACAGGGATGTTTAGGAGTCAGCAGGACTCCTCCCAGGAGGCAGAAGGGAGCCAGGTGGCTGTCTGTGTGCTAGAGGCACAGGAAGACAGCCGAGGAGGCTGAGAGAGATCTGTTTACACATGGACTATGTGTGACAACCTGGAGTCGGTGAGACTTTGTCTTCTGTTTGCTGGAATACAAGCGGACCGTGTAGTATGGTTGATGTTATGTTTCTGCTCTGGAAGCAATAAAAGACTGTTCTGGTTATGTTTAAATCGGCTTCAAGACTTGTGTTTGAGCGCTCGCCATTTGTGCTAACCTCGCCAATATCACAGCACCTTAAGATCTTTGTAAAACCAAAACTTTCATTTACAATATTTCTCCTAATCCTTTTCTGCATGTGAGTTTCAGTCCTTGTCATCTCCCATGGATGTATTTTGAAACAGTTAGACCACGCTTATCAGTTTCTGCTATTGGTAGAAACTGAAGAGTTCTACTATTTAAAAAAAAATCTTTTGTTGCTTCCATCTCACTCTCGATGTTGAAATTTTATTTATTTAATGTTATGAAGAATACAGCAAATTACAAGAACAATCCCAAGGTGAGCAGGAACAGAGCCAAGAAGTATAGTAGTGAGATCTTACCATGAATGTGTATAATTATCTGTAATACTCTGGATCAGCAACAGAACATTCCTGAAAATTATTTTAAGTGTCATTGTTTAAGAACTAATACCTCTCTATTAAAATTCATACTCATATCAATCACAGTGAAAATGACAGTTGTGAGATGCTTTGTTGATTAAAGGATAGTATAGACAACTCTTCTAAACATCAGTTTGATAAATAGTTGCCATTAGAAAAGTCAAGGTACCACCTATACCATCCAGTCTTATTTTCTGTTTTATTATTCAAATGTCTTTTAGGAAATTAAAGCAAAGATCAGGTTGGTTTTTACAGACAAAAGCCATATGCTGGCTCAATAATACAAATACATCCTTAGCAAATTAAACTGGAGATATAGCCTAGCAATAAATTTGGTTCCTATTGTAATTTTCCTGTTGTTCCTATGGAAAACAATTTACATTCTGGTTTTGCATAAATTGGCCTCTAAGGCATATTAAATAAAACAGTACAAAAAGTTGAGCGCAAAGATCTGTAACTCATAGCAACTCTAACCAAATCACTCAAAAAGTTGATTTCTAAATGGTTGGTATGGGTTTTTCACTTTGCACATTACTCTTTGCCTTCCCGAATGAGCCTGACTCTGTCCCATTGTTTTATTGGCAGTTTACTTATCTACAACTGGGTTTCTTTGCAGGATAGAGGTTTAAATCAATGGTTTCCCTCTGGAATAATAAGAAGGGAAATTAACTGAATTGCAATTACAATTATGTTGATTAAAGTCATGTTAACTGCGCTTTACTGCTGCTACTCAATTTCTATGCACTATCTTTGTGATTGATTTGACCGCACTTGAATCACCTTTATGAAAGCTTACAGCACTTATTATTATGTTCATGCTGCAATTAGGCCCACAAGGAAAGCGTTCCTTAGAATGAAGAAAAACAAAACAAGTGATTGCTGAGATCATTGTAAACTTTATTTGTCTCAGATAAAAATGTCCTTTTTCCTTCGGCTTAACATTGAAGAAGAGAAGTCACATTCATGTGTATGATGTAGAACTGGTGCTTGTAAATACTAGGTTGTTATATATATTTACAGGGACTCTTGGTTGCAGTACACTGATGATAATTCTTGCGGAACAGCAATCTCACTAAGAATTGTGTTGAAATGTCATATGTAGTTAGTGGAAATTCAGTGTTTTGTAACAGTAGAATAGTCAATGTGCTAGGTGTGTTATCTTTGTGGGACAGCCATGCAGATCGTATATTTTTTAGAGTTTTGTCTAGAATGTAGCATTTATTCAAAATAATTACATCACATTTTGAATGCAGATGTTTTTAATTTTTAAAATTTAACAATGTAACAATTTTCAAATGTATTTTCCAAAAATCACCTTGATCTGGCCAATTGACCTAGTCAAGTTGTTGACATCGAAGGGCGAATATGCACTTTTGGCAAAGCAGTTTTGTTGGAGTGGAGTTAGTCGTATGTACATGTTCTTTTATGTCGGCGTCATTTGTATGTTCTGCACAGATGACACTGGTGTATTTGCAAGGAGCTACACACCTTCATTACTTATCATGACATACATTTTTTACAATCTTGAAAACAGTCACATCCCAAAACCATCCCTAATTGGCCATTAATATTTTGCTCCATCAGCTTTATGGGCCAGACATGGAGAGCTCCTCATGTTCAATGTGCTGAATCTCAAGGTTTTTTTCTTACTTATTTTCAAGTTCACTATTTCAAAACCTTGGCTGTGCTGGTTATCTCTTACATGGTTTGTATCTCAACAGCCAGGACAAATGTTTCATCACTCATCATCTTCATCATCACTTTTAGGTCACTGATCCTTTTTGGGGTCCAGGGGTTAGCAGGGTGACAGCATAGGCCAAAGTTTACATTGCTCTTCCAAGGACATAAACTCTCCTAGGGAGTTTTAAACCTTTCTCAGCCAATGTAGCTATTGGCTGATATTGGAGCTATAACTCCTTCTCTATGTTTTGGCCTGCCTTAAAGCTTTGCTTTGGATCAGTGTGTTTGGAATAGTTCCCTTGGGAGCCTTCCACATTACATCTGTTTTACATGGACGCATCACCTCAGTTCTCATGTTGAAGAAGTAAAGGCTTCATTTGAGATGACAACAGGTCACCAGATGTAACTTTATGTTTGTCATAAGTTTGATGTTATTATCATCAACAATGGCCAGATATGGTTCAGGTAGAATTCCTCTATGTACTTTTCTGTATCAAGGTGTGTGGCTACATAACTAGAAACAGCTACTTAGAACAGTCTAATGAATTTAATTTGACATTATAACCATATCTAATGTACATGAGGATGCATCTAGTCATGAATACAAATTGCACATAATTTCATTACTAGGGACTGAATGTTTCTAGATTATCATCTGCCAAAAGAGACTATGGAAAGATTTTTTACTAGACTGAAAATCGTTTTATATAGCGAGCATAATGTAAATGCAACCAGCTTCTCTTTCCAATTCTTCGTTCACACAATGTGATTTTCATGTGTGCCAGGAAAATAAGTCACTCTTCCGGATACCACACGTATATGGCTGCCTTTTGTGTCGCTTTTTTTTTCCTGCGTATCTGAGTATTGCTTCTGGCTGGGCACATATTTCAAACTATCTTGTTAGCTCTAGTAGAACTATTTTTCAGTGAGAGAAGTGAATCTGACAGAACTGTGATGAATTGATGAACATACAATGTTTAATTACCCACTGTGTGCAGTGAAGGTGAAACCTGTAAATAAATCCTGTAAATAAACAGTATCCAGCCCTATATTAAATGGTTGCGATAGAAAATGCTGTCATGGGATGTCTTATTTAAGGCGTGATATGGAAGTTTGGTTTGCAAATCAAATGTCTGCACCCTTCGGATTTGGTCCTGAGGATATGTGTCCACACAGTGAAAGTTCAGATGGCTCGTATTGCATAATGCATAAAAGTAGAAACTTATACTTAGCTGCATTTTAAGAATATAACTTTTATTGCATAATGTACAAACACAGCATTATGTCACAAATCATAGTGTGGAATGCTGTTTTGGGCTGGGTATGTCCTTTCTCTGTACAGGCAGTCACAGGAAAAAACATTTGTACCTTTTTGTGAATTTACTATTTACTGGTAAGCAGACACCTGGTGCAGTACCTGGATACAAATGTAATATATATATATATATATATATATATGTATACAAATTTTGTTTTTGTTTTTACATTACTTACATATACCTCCAGGACACTTTAATATGGAAATCTTGACTTCATCTAGTAAATGGTTTTCTGGCCTGAATTTCTCCCACCCCTCCCTATTTGCGAGTCATGCTGCTCTTTGCAGTGCTGGGCTAATAGGGGCAGGGCTAGTTGCTGACTTACTGTTAGAAGCTGAAAATGTGTAAATTGTGACATATTTTATACATGTGCAGGTTTGCCAAAATCTGCTTGCTTTAGTATAGAGGGAAAAAGTGTGATATGTCCCTTGAATTAAAGCTGGAAGTTTTATCTTGTTTTCTAATGCAGTGTAGTATTCACTGGATTATGTTATTGATATCTTTATGTTTATGGCAGTTGTGTTTAATTTTTAACCATGTGTTTTATTGATGAGGACAGAAATTACAAAAAAAATGTATATTTTTTTTGTGCAGATTCCGAGCTGGGTGTCAGTTTACTGACAACAAACAGCAGCAAAGATGCTTCAGATCCAATTCTACCCAAAGTGTCGGGACTAGAGAGAAGTCAAGAGAAGAGCCAAGAGAGCACCCAGGAGTTGCAGTTTGACACGGTGGTGTGTAATGAACTGTGCCCACCATCTCTACCTGCAGTGCAACCTGAAATAGAAACACAACCGTGTCTCTCATCTCCTGGACCAGTTGTAATTTCCCTTTCAGAGACACCAACACAAACACAGCCGGAGCCTCCTCAGCTTCCTCATGCTCCTCTAGAGCAAGAAGCACCATTGCCACCTCAGCCACAAGTGCAGCTGCCACCAAAGGCTCAGCCACTTCCTCAACCACCTATTCAGCCAAGCTCTCCAGCAGTTCAGACACGACCTCCTTCCCAGTCATTGCCCCAAAATGTGTGCAGCTACAACAGCAGCAGCCTGAGTGTGAACAGTTTAAGGTTTGTATAAACATTGCTTTCAAAAATATATATTGCTGTAACCCCTATGTGAACAAATGTACTAGATATTACTAGACTTCTTTAGCAACAAATAAATAGAACTTCATTCTAATAAAAAAGCTTGATACTGCTTTAATAGGAATAACTTTGCTATAGTTATAATAAAGTGAAAAAGAAATTACCTGGTATTCACAAAAAAAAATGTAATACTACCTGTTCAACAGTGAATCCTACTTAAAGAAAAATGAGAAACTCTTAATGGGGAGAAAAGTTATATTTTTGCTGCTTGCCTATGACACAAGGAGGAGTGGTTACACTGCAGGCCCTCCCCATCTGTTCAGAATTCTAAATGTGTTCCATTGGGAAAAACTTTAACACTTTCTGGTACTGTTGAAACTTGCCCTCCACATTCTACCCCATATACGTTTCTTTTAGCCAGTGATTCAGCCCCTCGTAGTGACGGGTCAGTAGAAATGTGTGAGAGGAAGGAGAGAGCTAGTAAGCTTTCACGCTACCAGGATGTTTTGTGACAAAATAGCCCACCCATGATCACCTAGGTCTGTAGGCTGCTACAGGTATACTTTATACTTGTTTAACTTCAGCTCTGTACAGGCACTTGCGAAACAGTTGTAATTTTGTTTTTGATGTCCTATATGAATTAAAAGAGAAAGCCAAATCTTCAGTTTCCATTGAGGGTTTTTGCTGAGTATACCTTTGTGTCTTTGTTAATAATGTGTATACATGTTGTACTCTTCTACTTCAACTTTCATTTATTATGCCTGAGAAAGTCCATAGTTCTTGTAAATTTTTCATTTAGGATTTTTTTTGATAACTACAAGAAGGTATCCCTTTGTCAATGTTTTTTTGCCATTTTAACCCTGTTTAAATTTATGACAGGGCTGTCTAGTTCATGGAATGGTTTGGCAAGCAAGTTTTTTTACTCGGCTGTATAAAACACACAATTTGACATAGACGTTTGCTATTTGAATAGAAGTAACCAGTCTATGTGCAATCATTAGTTGGCCAAATTCATTCATTAGTTGGCCAAAAAGTTGCCAAGCATTCATTTTTATTTCTCTACAGTGGCATCAGTGTCATATAGTATAGTACAGATATTTTTTCTTCATTTCCTTGGGTCTTTAATGCAGACTTGACATCTTTTTTAACCTTATTAATTTTTCACAGTTATCTCAAAGCAGGCATCAAGAAGTGAGAATGCAGCATCCAAATAGTACAGAACTGGAACCCTGCATTGAATCATGAGCATTTAATTTTTTTCAACCCTTAACTTTTGGCCAGCTCTAGCTTGAGGGTGAAGACTGGCTACACCTTTGTAACATAAATACCAGCATGTTCTGCATTTCAGAGAAATTTTCCATAACAGAGACATTTTTAAGACTTTTTTTTTTTTTACAAATGTTACTGCTTTAAGATCTAATTATTGAAACTGCGTAAAAGAAATGAGCACAAAACTGGATTAGTCAGAAGTGTTGTTTAGTCTTATCTTAAAATGAGATGTGAAAACTGGTTGGTTGGCATTGGTAACAATTCCATTTTTCATTTTCTAGTCTCCAGTCTTAATGAACCAACCCCTAAGTGATACATTTTGCTCTGAAGTCCTTTTTTATTGCTTATTTACTCACTTATATACTTCTCTTTCTACAGCAGCAGCAGAAGTAGCACTCCTGCCAAAAGTCAAGTGCCACCGTCTCACCTGTCTCATCATCCTTCAGCTTCTCCGTATCCTCTGTCTTTACCAAGCCGCAGTCCCTTACATAGCTTTACACCCACCATCCAACCTCCGCAACACCAGCACCACCCAAATATGTTTGCCCCACCCGCTGCTTTACCTCCTCCACCACCACTGACTTCAGGGACCCTTCAAGTTCAAGGACACCCAGCTAATAGCACTTACTCAGGTACTGATGATAAAATAGAAAACAAATTACTTGGTTAATGCCATGCACCTGTATTCAAATGATTTCAGTACAGGTCAGTCTAGTTTTTAGAGTAAATTATACAGTATTATCTCATATATATTTCTTTTGTCTTTTTCAGAACAAGACCTTCTCAGACAGGAACTGAACACACGGTTTTTGGCTTCACAGAGTGCAGATCGTGGAGCATCATTAGGCCCGCCACCCTACCTAAGGACAGAGTTTCACCAACACCAGCATCAGCATCAGCACCAGCACCAGCACACTCATCAGCATACACACCAGCACACCTTTACACCTTTTCCGCATGCCATCCCGCCAACTGCCATCATGCCAACTCCAGCACCGCCCATGGTGCGTACCCCAGGCAGAAATGTGAGGATAAGTAGAACACAACTTTATTATTTTCAGTACAGTTAGTGCCCTTATGACAGGCACTGTAAATATATATTTTACTGTTTTGCTATTTATGTACAAAAAATCAAATGGTAACAAAGATTACAGATAACCTTTTGATGCTAATTATTTTCTGCAACTTGAAAAGCTAGTGCAGGAAATTACAGCTCTGTGTTTATGGGTTTTCTGTTATTGGCAGATGTGGCCTGATTTGGCAGATTTGTTCCAAAAAGGATTTACAGCGTGGTACACATTAAATAATGTATATTCTATACAGTACATGTTTGAATAATTGGGTAAAGACTTGATGGTGGAGCCACTCAATTAAAACACTCGTTGCCTTGGGCAAGTAAAGTATTAATATCAATTATGCTAAATATGTAGATGTCCCCATATCTTGCCAGAAGTGAAAAAAAAATTGTCTGCATTTGTTGTCTGCAAGATATACTATTGTTGTACTTGTGCGTCCATTTCAGACTAAAGAAAGGATTTATACTTAATTACTGTCAGGTTTTCTGCTGAAATTATGTGCAGAAAATTGACTTCCGTCTGTAATAATGTAGGTTCAGATAAGATCCTGAACATTTTCCAGTGTACACCTGTATATGATATTATCTCTTTTCTTTGGGCCAACTTGTGTTTTGGATTACTCATTCTTGAAATATATCAATGTACATTTTTCTGTAGTTCCAAAATGGTAGGCTTTTTTCTTAGGATCAGAATTCATCAAAAAACGTTTTCTATAGTAACTGTCAGTGGTTAAATGATGTGCATTTGCATCCAATGACTAATATTGGAAACTCTATTCTCCCTTTTTAATCTTTCAAAGGGTTTATGAAAAAACTTTTAGAAAGTCTTCTCATTATATTGATTCGCCAGAATTGTTGTGCGAACAAAGACATGAAAAACCACAACCGATCCACAATAGCAATAGATCCACAATTTATCTTATAGATAAATAAGATTATTGGTATAAAATATAGCACTATAAGTAGATAATAAAAACAACATGTTTTATAGGCATCATGTATCATGCTTTCCTGGATGCTGAACCGGAAATGTGTACTTGATTGATAATACAAGTAAATCAATAGAAAACACTATTGCTAAGGAATTATGATACTTTAAGCAGATGTGAAAGATTTAGCTATCCTATATTTATAACTTTTTTTCCTGGTATTTATAGAGGGAGCTCAGTTCATGCTTTTTTTATTTGAATAATGAAAGTCAGGAAAAGATACAGTTTGATTCAATGTAGATACCTAGCTATGACTTACAGTATTAATGCTTCCATATATGTGTGCAGACAGAGCTTTATTATATGAGCAGATAGGGATCCACACCTTGCTTAGAAATAAACAAAAACTCATCAGCATTTAGTACAGTGGATGATGAGTCTTATTGTCCCCTCTGCTTTCAATTATATTTAGGCTTTCCCTGTGGCACATAAAACATTTTGGCCTCATGGGGCCATGGGATAACAAGTCCTGAAGTCTTTTAACTTGCAACTTGACCTATTCAGCACTGACACTTTCATCTATGTGGTGCATGGCTGCTAATCTTTGTCCTGGGTTTGTGTGACAGTGGAGAAATTAGTGGAGAGGCATCTAAATATAAATGACCTGCCCTAATAATTTGAAAGAATAAAGGTCTAGTCACCATGGAGCATCAACAACACTGATATATGAACAAACATTTTGCATACACAATCCTAAAGATAACATGTACTTTGCCCTTGCTAGGCAAGGTAAAATCTCTCTCTACTGGAGGCATTATGAGCAGTCAGTTATTATCTCTCTTGTGCTCCTTAATCAGCTGCCGTAGCCCAGAAAAATATCCAGTACTTCTAGATTTGGGGGAACATTAAGACATCCGACCACCTTACTTCCCACAATGTCACTAGTCCTAAGCACTTTAAGGTTGGGGAGGAGTGATGAAACTTACATAGGGAGTCAGAAAGCTTCAGTGTCAGAACAAGGTGGTGAGGAATACAGGGAAGGTAAGTACGGGCTGCTTACAATGCTTACTATACCAGCAAATCTGCTTCTTTGACCAGCATGGGCAAACTATAGGTAGGCTTTACCCATTTGCTGTCCGCCCATTGTGAAAAAACGGGCATATGGTGGACTCTTCAAGCAGAATCCCGCTAGGAATGTAAACAGCCAGCACTGGCTGTTACAAGCAGCCAGTGCCAGTCCCCGGCTCTACAGCCAGCTGATCACTTGTATGACACTAAAAAGCTTCCCCCCCCCCCTGCGGCTACTGCGGCCTCCCTCAGCTGCCGCCCTCCCAATGCCGCTGCCAATTATCCCGGGCTCTGCTGTCCCCCCTGCGGGCCTGGGACCAGCACAGCGGCTGTTTCCAGTGATAAGTGAGGAGTGATCAGCATTTCCCCACTGCTGATCTCTCCTCTCTCTCTCTAAAGGCAGAAGTCATGTGCATTACATCACTTGCGCCTTTAGCTGTCATGTCTCTGTCTTCTATAGCCAGAGAATAAGCTGGTGAAACAGTTCTCTGCTTCATCAGCTTCTTTGGGGGTCCCAAGGTGACATTAGGGGTCTTAAAAACCTCTGATGTCTCCATAAAGAGGACCTGTCATTTTGTATTGGCTATCATGTAGGGGGCTTGTAAGCACCCTATGTGATGGCAATAAAGTTAAGTGTAAAAAAAAATGCAAAAAAAAAATTCAAGTCTCGTTAAAAAAAAAAGAAGAAAAACACGCAAAAAAATGTAAGTCTCATGCGTGCATGCACATATAAACATAAATACGCGTCAGGTGCGTCTATGTGCGAAAACAATTACGCCTCACGTGTTACAAATCGCTGTGAACATGGGAGTGTGAACAATCATTTTAGTGCCAATAATCACTGATAACACTAAACTGATGAGCAGTAAAAGCTTTTGAAGTGTCACCTATGTAGAGCTGCAGCTAACGATTATTTTCAAAATCGATTAGTTAGCCGATTATTAGGTTCGATTAATCGGTTAATCGGATAAACAATAAAATAAAGTTTAAAAAAAGGCTCCAGTGATGGGACTACTAGTTTGTATTGAGGTTGTAGTCCATCACAGGAGCAAGCTTGGAGCGGTGGAAGTAAAAAAGAAAGATAGTGTGGTGTGCAATATAGTGAAATGGAAAGTGTAAAATTATACAGCAATGAATGCAGAATACCACCAGCTATAGAGGAATACAACAAATCCCAGCAATAGTACATAATAGCTGGAGGCATTCTGCATTGCGCTGTATAATGTACTATTGCTGGGTTTTGTAGTCCTCTATAGCTGGTGGTATTTAGCATTGTACCACTTTATAATGTACTATTGCTGGGATTTGTTGTAGTCCTCTATAGCTGGTGGTATTCCGCATTGCGCTGTATAATGTATTATTGCTGGGACTTGTAGTCCTCTATACAGCGCAATGCAGAATATCACCAGCTATAGAGGAGTACAACAAATCCCAGCAATACATTATACATACAGTGTATAATGTATTGCTGGGATTTGTATTCCTATGTATAATATACAGCACAATGTACCATCAGCTATAGAGGAATACAAATCCCAGCAATACATTATAGAGCACCATGTGTGGGAAAGTGCAGGCTTACCTGAGCAGTCTTCCAGCAACTTGCTTCTGAGATCGGGCCTGTCTATCGGCGGCTGTGATCACCCCACACCTGCTCCTCCTTACTACATCTCCCCGCGTCCCTGTGCCGATTGTAGATGTGGGTGGGCGGGGAGTGTGCGGCGTGTGGAGCATGGATGCGGGTGGGTCTGGCAGCAGCGAGCGTGAGGTGGGGAGGAGGTACGGCACACAGCGTGTGGAGCTGTGAACAGGGCCAACTGATCGGAAGCCGATTAATCGATTATTGAAAAAGTTGACAACTTTTTCAATAATCGATTATAATCGATTATGTCGATTAGTTGTTGCAGCCCTACACCTATGGCCAATTTGGCCTTGGCCGTTATTGGTCTTGTTTATTTATGCCTACTTTGGTGCCTTACCAGAAGACCTAGATAGATAGAGTAGATGGTGTTACATTAATACATAGTTAAGTTGGAAAAAAAATATCACGTTCAACCAATTAAAAATTATATAAATAAATTAAAAACATGCATATACAGACACTTATACACACAGTTGATCCAGAGGATGGCAACAAAAACCCACTAAAGCCTGTTCCAATTTGTTACAACAGGGGAAAAAGAACAACTTTCTTATCCTCTAAGACATTTGGATATTCCCTGGACCAGAAATATCTGGTGTTATGAATGTTAATACCCAGTTATATTTTGTGCATTTAGGAATGCATCCAGCGTTTTTATAACAATTAACTGAGCTGGCTAGAATTAGTATCTATCTATTCCACATTTTCACAGCCTTTACTGTAAGAAAGCCTTATTCTATGCAGAGTTAAAACATATTTTCCTCCAGACCCTAAAGTGAATAACTGCACCACGCTCCTTATATGAACCATGTATACTTGGTGACCATATTGCCCCCTGTTGTTGGTTACTACTGTCAGGTTTATCATAAATATCTAAGTGGACTGTCTTCAAAGTTTACAGTTAAGGAGTAAAACATAATTTCAAATTCGACATTGCACCAAAAACAAAAGGCTGTATCCACCCAGAACTCCTGTTTACGTCTTTATGTTTGCTTGCAAGTTGGACAAGTTGGCTTCTTATAATCTTGGGGGACTCAAGTGGAGAGAAATCTCCATCAAAATTCCCAGTTTCACTCCACATCCACTACAAACCTAGAAATTTAAAATAATACACAAATTCTGATTTCTAAAATCCATGAGAGGTAAATGATAGTGATAATGGTGGTGGTTTGATAGCAGGTTACCAAATCCACTACATTTGGGTGAAGCTGGGCCTTGGGAATGCCAATAACAGTGTTAGTATTTTTGGCCTAAAACAATTTTTTTTTAAAGATCTTATATATCATAAAGTAAGATAAAATAATGACAACACTTTTCTCTATTAGACCTATTGAAAAGGCTTCTCTATGTGTATAAAGTTGGGTATCCAGTGGTGGAAGAATAGGGATTGCATGGTTGCCAAAGTGCCTGAAATAAGGACAGACAGGGGCATAAACAACAACTTATCTTGCTGGCTAATGAGGGTAATATGAGGGGCCCAGCCCATTGTTGCTGCGGTTCGGTAGGCTGACAAGATCTCCACTAGAGAAGGGTCAGCACACACCTTCTCATGCACATACACTGTATTTGTAATCTCTTATCTATAGTTCTTTAACCTTAACCAGACTGATATTATCTTGTTCTGTCATGTTGACGTCATGTGCCCCTATAGGCATCTTTTAACAATAAAGTGTAAAACTGCCTATAAATAGTGGAGGCAGCAGGCATCTGTATTGGTCTCAGGTCTGTAAACGTAAAGTCACCTCAGGCTTATCAGGGGAATAAAATAATCAGACATGGTTTTCTCGGTTCCCATAGAGAAGCCTGGTGGTATTGGCTAGTACCTCACACGCTGTAGATACTCATGAGACTCACTCTAATGTCTTTGGACACCTTCAGTGCTTTTTTTACCTAGGGTGGTGAGGGTTTACTGTAAAATAAAGTGTTACAAATGTCATAGATACCCATTGAAAATAGTTCACAAGCTCTCTGGTGCACAAACATTTCTGTGTATGGACTTTAAGCTTATCATCTCAATATATAAATAACAACAAGGCTGTGTTTGAACAACGCCAATAAACAGGTCATAAAAGAGATGCTTATTTCTGAACACAGTCCTATATTTCCTTACAAGGCACCTCTTGGGTGACTACAGTAGTCTCGCTGCAGCATTATAATGTTATAGTGGGGAAATGTATTTATAGGGATCATCTTTTATCATAAAAATAAAATACAAGGCAGACATAAAAATGTCTTTGTGTGCACAACATTCATTGCAGAGTTTTATTTATCTCATAAAACCATCAGGATGAAATGATAATAGATTCGCTATTTACTTGCTGTAGTTTAAACAGTGTGCTTGTTCACAATGCACTCTACTGTTTGCGGGCCTGCTGTTAGTGCTGCTGGTTGTTAAACCGTGTGATAAAATCATGATCTTTATAGATACTATACCAAGACACATAATAACCATTTGCTTTGATCCCTTTGCAGTTTGACAAATACCCTACAAAAGTTGACCCCTTCTACCGTCACAGTGTGAGTTTAAAAGTGCTGTGTTAAAATGTTGGCTTATCTTTGTCTGTAGCATGCCGCAAACATCACCCCACAATAACCTGCCAAGATTTCAACGCTTCCCCTAATCATTTTAGCTTTGGCAATATACAAGCTTCATTCATGTGATTCATTTCTTCTGGAGATGCACTATCCTGTTTTTAATCAAAATTTGTCAGTGCTCATAAACTGTACAAGGAGTCTCACTGTGAGAAAGATGACATACATACAGCGTGAGCTTGTTCCCACTGGGAGAATAATGATCAGCCAGGAATATTAAATAGGGATTTCATGGGTGTTATAAAACTTACAAGATGAAATTTAAGTTATTCACATGCAAATCAAATGATGGCTGCAACACATGGAAAGTCTATAATCCAGCAAAGTATTTAGATTTGTTAACGGTTTGCAGAACTTGTGTGATGCAAGGCATATATCTGGTGTGCAGCAGATGGAAAAGAAATACAATACCAATACATTACTACTTGGCTCAGAGTTAGCATTAAAGAAGGTTTATATCCTGAGCTACTAAGTTATACCTTTTCCTATGAAAGCCTCCAGCAGAAGGAAGGGAACAGTAATTGAAAAGAGTTGTTTGAACCACAGATATGAAGATATGTATGAAGAGATAGTTGTCAGCAATGCTGAACTTGTTTTGTTTAGGATGCAAACACGGATTCTATTCGGGTTACTGAGTCTGTTAAGGCAAATCTAAGAGGTAGTTAGAGGAACCGTTAAGAGCTACCAAAAGTTGTGCATTAAGATATTAATGACAAGGATGAACAATTTGCCTTTTAGTGCCAGGCAACATAGCACTTCCTCTGCCACCCTCTCTTGTTTCAGTGGTTCAGCAGATGAAGAAAAGTCTTCATCTATTATCTTGCTGTACCACTTTCTCGTGTGAGCAATTAATGGAAGTTAAAGGGGCATGTTGACTTCTGAGAAGCTTGCCTCTGCCATCACTGTGAAGGTTCCCCCAAGACATTGATTTTGGGATTCATTATCAGTTGTAGTGACATAACAAGGGCATAGGTTGTTCATTTTTCTACAGTAAGTAGTGGAAATAGCTTTTTGTGCTGCATAGGTAAATTGATGATTGAAACATATAAAATATTAACCCCTTCTCCTTCCCCATTAAAGGCAGCAATATTGAGAAAATGGACAGTGCAGGGTACAAGGAGCACTAACTTGAACACATTTAATATTTCATGTCAGCCACCTAAGTTAGTTGTATTTAGGTCTATCTGTGCAAGAAAAATCTTCCTGTTGAAGTTAGTGACGTTTTAATATGACATTTTTTTAAGCCTAATCTTAAACTGTCATTTAGAATATGTATGCCTCTTATGGTACTAGAATTTTGTTATGCTTTTGCAGTTGCTATTTTAGATTAGGGTATGTTCTCATACATTTCCCAATACATATGTCTGTGTCTCTCTCATGTGTAACCTAATGGGGATTTAGACTGCATGTGATCTATATATGATTTTCAATTTTCCTTTTAATAGATTTTAGCTTATTTCTTTTGGCCACAATATTTAACATAAACACAATTTTCATTGCATTTTTTGCAATTGCATATAATTTACCAATTAACCTGCATGGATAAAACAGAGTCACTGGGGCTGATTTAATAATAGAGTATATCTTGGGTATGATTGGATGTTTGGAGTGAACAAGTTTACTTGATTAAGTGAAAAATTTACTCCTTTAGTACATAAGTCACAAACTGTGCTTGTAAATGTCAGTGATCTGCAGTTCATCCTATGCTGAAAACTGGCACACCATTAAGAGAAAACAACATTTTACAAAATACTATAGGTTTTTAATAGCTTTATAATATTTCATTAAAGGAGAACTATGGGGTCAGTGTTTTTCCCCATAGTTCTCCTTAGGGTAACGGGAGGACACAAACTAGCATCCTCCCGTTACCCTAAGGTCAGTATACCGTGAGCTACAGCTCGCGGTATACTAAGACACGCCGGAGCGGATCCCGACCTGGACGTCGGGATCCACCCAGCTGAGTGAGTGACAGCTGGCTCTGCCTATCTAGAGGCAGAGCCAGCTGTACCCGCCCCCTCCGCCGTCCGTTCTGGCAGTCAGCGCTGGCAGATCGGAGAGGGGAATCCAGCCCCTCCCCCTGTCACGGCAGAGAGCCGTGACAGGATCGAGAGGTGAGCGAACCCGGTATGTGTTCGCTCACCTCCCGATCTACTGAGCCGACCTGTGACAGTCTCATTGTCACAGGTCGGCTAGAACTATGAGGTGAGTGGAAATCACTCATCTCATAGTCCTGCTTTAAATCTCTAGGATTTTATACAGGCATTCATATATGATGACAGTCAATTATAAGTCAATGCCCCTACCCCCACTGTATATAGACAAAAAATAGTGAGGCACCCTTGCTGTTTACTGTGGGCAACAGTGGTAATATACATTGACCACCATTTCCTGTGAAATATAATTTCTGTATATGGCCAAAAGTTTAGTCAAAGCATGTTCCGTGGTTGCAAAGACGGCATCTCTTTTATTTAAAGAAAGTGATGTATGATGAGTTCAGGGAGGAAAGAAACCCCTTGTGGAGGTACAAGAACAGTTGGAATTAGGTCAGGAGCTACCAGAAAATGTTAGCAAAGTCCTTAACAGGAAGCAGCAACCTGCTCAGTACTGCCATTTCTTTTTATAACAAACAGTGGACCAGAATGCAGAGCTTTATAAATGAAAAGACATCGCTACACTTGCCTTTTACATTCATTGTGTAAAAGTATGTTTCTGCTGTAAGCAACTTATGACTTGTTTCATTGTTGTCTAAGATGTCTTTGTTCTGCATTTGCATACTGTAAATAATTTTTTTTAATGCAGACCCATACTTAAAAGTTAGGAGCTGAATTTACCTTTCCTGGAATTACCTTTTCTGGAACCAGATTCCCTTCAGTGCAGACCACATGTCTGAATAGCTAGGCACTTGGTCATCTGATATCCGCTGAAGGGTAGAATCAGCGTTCAGACTGGTTGATCCTTCACTTTATCAAAGATCATGTGGCCAACTTCCTAGACCTTCAGATGGGTGTCAGTATTGAGGGGAGCCTGAAGCAGCATTTTCTTTCAGGAAAGGTAAGTATTTTAGCCCTTCTAATATACCACAGCAACACTATTAAAGCCAAACTGAAAATAGGGCAGAAACTTTGTTAATATTGTTGTACAAGCTGTAATTGCCCAATATTATCACTCCACAGTGCCGTTGTTTCTCCTAGCAAATCTATGGTACATGGTGCGCACAAGTATTACTACTGTCTGTACTACTGCTGTGTCCATACAGTGGTCTGACTTGTCAGTAGTACACTACACAACTACACAAACAGCAAAACACCTCACCCAAGCATTGCCGTTTGGTGCACTGTAGTGCTTGACATGTAAGTAATAATACTTGGCAATAAAGCGTGTACAATAATATTACCAGCTTCTGCCTTTATTTTCAGTTTTGAATGCAGGGTCACTTTAATGCTTTCTCTCTGTTTTTATTTGGTTGAAAGATAAAATATACCAAAGAACTGCACACTTTCCAACAACCACCCTCATTATATTGTTCTCCAAGGACCTCCACATATATTTGAATTTTGAAGACCGTTATTTACATTTTGAGATGGGTTATTAAGATGTCTAGTGACTGATTTTGAATAATGACAAATTGTGTTTATTTTATGTTTCCTGTTGAACAGAAACAATGAATGAAATAATGGTAATTGTATACAAAATACAGAGCAAAGATTTTTGGGCCGCCCCTTTTATGGTAGCTTTTCTTTTGTGTTTGGGCACCTGTGCAAGTCTAAAGATAGACAAGCAAACTATAAAACCAGAGGGGCTAAAATGATTACTCATCTCAAAATGTAGTTCATAATAAAAATGGAGGTACACTGTACAACTAAGCTGAAAGTAAAACATGAGATAGATGCTATATATTTTTATTAATCAGATTCTTTTGCCAGGATGCAAAATAAGGAAGGGTGCACTTTGTTCATATGTTTTTGTATACAGAGAGATTGTATAGCATAACTATTTTTATATGTTGGTTTCTACTTCCCATTGTTACTTGAGAATAAAGCTGCCTCTTAAATGGTCCATAGATAGCATTAGCAGTGACAGTATAAGCAGCAAAGCAGACTAATGAAGTCATAATTGTGCATATTCTTTAATTTCTTACACAACACCATTAAACCTTTTAACAAAGTAATTGAGTTTTAATGGAGTGAAATCCTGGCACTCTTAAAACTTCATTTTTTAATTAGCTTGCTATTTCCCTTGGACTTATTTGGCTTAACATCCCTCCTGCTTTTGATGTACTCTAAATTCTGAAACCACTTAGGCATTCAATCCAATTTAATAATTCATAATTACAAAATCACCTTTTATTTTGGAAGAAAGGAATTCATCAAGGGTATCATTTCTGTGCTAATTAATGTTGAACGCCCTTAAAGTTCCCTATTAAGCCAGATTCCCTGACTTGACAGTGGGAACTGATTTTTCAACCCGCATTAATGCCTGCTTTTAGCTTTGCGCTTGTGCTGTGGTTCTGTATTGTGTTTTATGTGTATTTTAGCACTAGCTGGGTTGTTTTTTTAATTATGTTTCTTCCTTTCTTTCAGTTATTTCATTCATACCCTCCAGCTGTATCTGGCATTCCTCCCATGATTCCTCCCACTGGTCCCTTTGGATCACTACAAGGGGCTTTTCAACCTAAGGTAAGGGGATGCTGGTTTGTCTACTTACATATGAGGTAACAGTAAGAAAATGGAAAGAGCTTCTTACTCAAATATTACAGTCCTGAGGTTATCTAGATTTGTTCTTACATGTACAAGTTGTCAGATTGTTAAACAAATGATATTCCTAATTTTGTATGACATAATGTTGTCTATATGGTAGTAGGTCTAGCCACTGGAGCTCACTCTGTGGTGGACAATAGAAACCTTGTTATAATAACTACATACACATAGAGGTCTATTTATAAACTATACACAGGGCCCTTCACTCTGCGAATATGCATGAAGATTCGATCTGTGCAGATATATGCCAAAATGAAGGTTCTTTTTTTTTTTTTTTTATTTACAAGGCATACTTAGTTCCTATGCTCATTTAGCTCCATCTAGTGTGGCCATAATGTGATATCGCATGATAAAATTGAAAAATGATTGCACTAAATAATATTAACTAATAAATGTTAATTTTGACATATATCCGGATGTTTACAAATATTCACAGGGCAATCTAAAATTTTGAGTTGTCACCAGCATGGGAAAAGAGGGGAAATCTTCCAATAAGGACACTTGCTCTGTTGACATCTATCTAAAATTTAGTAAGCTGCTAGACGAAATGTACAGTAGGCATCTCCTTTGGCATAAATATGCAAGCTCAGACAGTACAAGAGTGTGTGTGTGTATATAAGCATCTAAAATTAATAAATCTTTAGGAAGTAGGATTGTTCCTGCACATCCAACTGTCACCTAATAACAATGGTTACTTAAAGCAGTACACTTAAAAGTTAAATATTTAGGTGAAATAAATACATACCTGCCAAAACATTTGTAGTTATGTTTTTCAGCCTAGCGACCCAGGCACCCCTGGCAGTCAACACAGCCAGATTCTGGACTTCCACCTCAGACTACACTGCAGTTTAGCAATTCAGCCAAGTCAAGGAATTCCAGCCCCAACATATAATGGGACAACAAAGTATCAGTAGTACACTGATGAGGTCATGACCCAACTATTACCAACCTCCAATGTTAAAATGTCAGTACTGTGCCATGCACTGAAACTGCATTAAAGAAAGGATTATAACCTCTGTTAGGTTTTTATTTGTTTCTGTTTCCCCATTAGAGAAAATCACCCTCTCTGTCTGTGAAAGCGAGGTAACATCTAAAATTTTGAGTTGTCACCAGGACAGAAAAAGACTTCCAACAATGACACTTGTTCTGTTTACATGCATAATACGTGTGGATTTCCTTCACATTGGAGAGTTTTTTCTCATCTGCATAAGAGGGTGTTTGCCTCACTTTGGAGAAATTTGTTTTCTCACATCTGGTTTTGCCTACATGATAGAAAGAAAGGAGAAATGTCCCTAATGGGACATACATGTAAAAAAAAACCTGATATGGGTTTTAACAATTTCTTACTCTATGCAAAATGAAAAAAAAGACTTTAGATAGACTTGTAAGTGTATGTGAAGGCAAAAAAAAAAAAAAATTGTAAATGTGCCTGTCTCTGCAATACATGCACATTTCTCCGTGTTTTAAACATGCTGCAAGTACAGAAAAATAACTGTTGAAGTGCCAGAAATAAAGTGTGATCCCACCTTCCTCTTTGACGTGACAACACAGTATTTTTGGTTTTGAGTTCCAAAGTATGTGTTGTCAGCCCTGCCTACTTTATTTCTGATAGATTGCAATGATCACAGACCTCTCCTCATCTCTTCTCCCCTCTCCATCTGCATAACCCCTATATGTCCACAGGCAGATAGTACAAGAAGTTATCAGATTATAAGATTTCAGGCAAAATCTACAGGTATTTTTTGCACTTCCTAAGCAAGTAAAAAGAACCTTCTTGTACAATTCCACTATAATTAAAACTTTGTTCATCCCACAATCAAACTCAAATGAAACTATTCACAAACACAGCTTCTTGGACACTACAATATCAGTCAAAGGAAACTCGCTACAAACATCCATCTGATGAACATCCATCTACAAACACAAATCCACTGACCGACCCACATACAGGAACAGCCGCTTCCACCCCAGACACATAAAAAAAGTCAGCAGTCAGGCCACAAGGTAAAACTGTGTCTGTTTCACACTGTGGACAGAGACAATAACTTAGAACACCTTAGGGGTGTCTTACTAAAAAAGGGATACACATAAACACAAATATTCAGTTATGAAGAGCAGTTGGTATCCACAGAGCCAAACTTCTGAATTACAAACAGACCCAAAGGCAAAACCATGTTCCACTTGTAGTTGCCTACATTCCATGTCTGGAAGTCCTACATGGAGTAGCTAAAAAAAAACTGCAGCCCCTCCTTCACAGAGATCATAGACTACGGGAAATATTTTCCAAGCTCTTTCTCTTGGGTACCTACAGCCACCAAACCAAAAACAACTTATTGTGAGAAGCACACTGAACACATCAAAACAAAACAGCACATCCCCATGTAGGAAGAAAAAGTGTGGACCTGCACACATATATATGTCACTAACAGGGAGCATTACAGAACAGAAGGTACCTTCTCCTGCATAGGTCTCTGTGTCATTGAAACTGGACGACACAGATTATCTATTAAGAACAACAAAACCGGCGCTCCTGTAGCGGTGTGCTTCTGCATAAGAGACCACAACTGAAATTACTTCCGTTTTATGGTGCTAAAGCGGAATTTTAAAATGGTATCACCCTAAATGCAAAGTTCCACACTTATTAAACATATAACAAAGCAATTTAAATAATATTTCCTAGAAGACCAAAAGGGAGCAAATAAGAGAAGTTAATTGTTTGAAATCCACTTTAAAACAGACTAAGGTACGTAGTCTGAAAATTAAAAAAGAAACTGCCAGGCAGAGAGGCTTGTCAAATACAAGCTAAAAGCAACAACAAGTAGAACAAGGGAGATAACTATTTTGGCATGAACAAATAATTGGACTATCTAAAAATGCATTTAATTATTTTGTAATTAATACTTAAGTTCCTTTAATGGGGTATTTATTAGTTAAGGTGATTCAGCACGAACAATGTTTCTAAAACATTAAAAAACACTCTTGTTTGCCTTTGAGCTGTTTGCTTTATAGTATGGTTTTCTTAATTCTTATTGTACCATTAGGATTAAAACCATGGGCTGGAACTTTGAAAGGCCTCTAAGTATGTATTTGGATATTAGAAGGACATCATAATGTATTTGTTCCTTGATTGCCTCAATATATTTTTACTGGCATTTTATCTGAGGACAAATAATTCTTGAATGTTCTACATCTCAGCAGAAGTAATTTGTATTCAAGAAATTGTACATGCAAATTTTTAATAGGGATGCACCCAATACCGGTTTTTCGGTATCAAATTTTTACTTTTGGTACTCCCCAATACCGAGTACCGATACTCCTGCTGTCATGGAGCTGGCTTCCCTGCCAATCAGGAAGCTGGGTGGCCTGTCATTACCGCCACCTGGCTTCTTGATTGCCCAGGCAGTCGTGTACATGCTGTTTGGCCAGTTCAAAGCTGATTGGCCGAGAAGCCAGCTTCCCAGCCAATTCGTTTTTTGCCAGCCAGACAGCATGGAGCCAGCTGCCCGGGCAATCAAGAAGCCGGGGGCGGCAGGTAATGACACACTCCCCGTCTTCCTGATTGGCCAGGAAGCTAGCTCCATGCCAGTGGAAGTATCGGTATCGGGAATTGGTATTGGCGAGTACCGGGAAACTAGCTTCTCAACCACTCAGGCATCGAGCCGGCCAAACAGCATGGAGCTGGCTTCCTGGCAAATCAGGAAGCCGGCTCCATGTTCCCTTGCGGCAGTGCTGGTCAGAAGAAATCTCCCCTGACAGAAAGTTCCGGTATCGTGGGTAAATATCGGAGCATGGAGCCAGCTGCCCGGGCAATCAAGAAGCCGGGGGCGGCAGGTAATGACACACTCCCCGTCTTCCTGATTGGCCAGGAAGCTAGCTCCATGCCAGTGGAAGTATCGGTATCGGGAATTGGTATTGGCGAGTACCGGGAAACTAGCTACTCAGGCATCGAGCCGGCCAAACAGCATGGAGCTGGCTTCCTGGCAAATCAGGAAGCCGGCTCCATGTTCCCTCGCGGCAGTGCTGGTCAGAAGAAATCTCCCCTGACAGGAAGTTCCGGTATCGTGGGTAAATATCGGAGCATTTGGGTGAGTACTAGTATCGGTATGGGTGCATCTTTATTTTTTACACTTATATGTTGTAATAATTGGTTTACATAATTGTACTTACCATGGTTTGTGCATTTTGTATCACTGTTTTTAGTTGTTACCTAGTTTGTTTTATGCGTATTATTTGTTGCACATCACCTTTTTCCAAAACCGCAATTTATTAGCAGTTGTCCTTCTGTATACTAATTGTTAAACATGATACAGTTTAATGTTTTCCATCCTTTAGCAAACATACTTGTTTTCTTTGTGTCTCCTGCTTGTGACAGCAAAGTGGCTTTGAAAGTACAATCTGTACCTGCAATCTAATACAGTGCTGACCCAAGGTCAATGTAACGGACTTAACCTGCTTTCGTGATGTGATATTCAAAGTCAATGTGCACCCTTAATGGTCTGTGACTGTAATAGCAGCCTGTTAGCTAGATGGTCAAAGTTCATAATAAATTATGTAGGACTAGTGGAAGGTATGATTTACTTCTTTTTCCTGAAGTGTAAATGTGAAAAGGTACCAGCTTTTGCAGATTTAATGATACATTAAGCTACAAGCTTTGTATCTCTTTGGCCACTGCTGTTGGATCATGTTGTTTAAAGAGACTACAGATACACTTTTTAAAAAGAAAACAAATCACTCTGTTAGGAAGTTCAACATTTTAATGTAGCTGAGCTTGCAGTCCAGTGGTAATTGGCAATTGAGGACAGCTCAGAAGCTGAGCAGTTCAACTGATAACTTTGTGGTAGTGCTGAAGGATCCGTGTGTAATTTCATCTGGGTTAGAGATGGGAGCTATTCTCATTATCACTGTCCCTGGGGGAATATTGTCTAAGATACTCAACCTACTGATACTTGAAATAAAGAATTGTACAATGACACGAGTGTACAACCTATGGAAAGGTAATACTAACCTTCCGTATGATCTGGAGTTTCGAAGGCCAGAGCTTTATGTTACATTGTAAAGGTTGATAGAAGGGTGAACCCTGGAAAGATTCATGTTAATATTGCCCCTCATTCCCACTGCCAAAACAGATGATGTTGAGCTTCACTTATCTAGGAAAGTCACACACCATTAGGCCTGAGCTGCCTGAAAATAAAAAAGAAACTGCCAGGCAGAGAGGCTTGTCAAATACGAGCTAAAGAGATACGGAGTAGCACAGGGAAGAAAACTATTTTGTCATGTCCAATTAATTTCACATGTTGTCTCTTTCTCAGACTTCCAATCCCATTGATGTTGCAGCTAGACCTGGAACTGTCCCACACACTCTGTTGCAGAAAGACCCAAGGGTAAGTGTAAGGGAGAGAACTCAGTCCTTAGTGTCACCATTATGTCAACATCTTTCTGGCCCTCCTGGGAGTGATAAATGTCCTTGTCACAAAGAGCTAGTCAGCCTTACACCTTGTGCTTGCCATAGACTTTAGTTTCTGTTTTCTTGCTTAAGGGACATGCTCCATATTATCTTGATTCTAAGATTGAAGTCTTTCTTGATCATTTTTAATGTCATTTTATTATTATTCCTGTCACTGGGTGCTCACCCTTATGCTAGTGTGGGTTGCAGAGCTCACCAGGGAATCCTATAGGCTGTTTGACATAATTTAGTGTTCAAAGGACAAGCTTCCTATTATATTTAGAACTTGAATGAGTGAGTAAGGATTGGAATGAAAATTATTAACTCAGCAAGGATAAGAGTGACTGGATTTAAATTACTAAAGAGCTAATTAGGATTATAGAAAGAGGTTTGTCCTCTTCAGAAATGTAAAATGTCCTCTACATAATTAACACTTGCTTAGAATATGTCACTTCCTTTGCATGCATGATATGTAGCTTAGGTATATATTTAAGGCACAGCTGTTGGGTTCATTCAGGAAAGACACAGCTAATCTATTTGCAATAAAATGCCTCTAAAACAATTTATTCAGAAAGGTTCTTGAAGCTGTGTAACCAAAAGGTCAACATGCCCTCATAGTCCATTTCATTGTCTCAGTTTTGCAGTAAAATATTTAAGCAGCATATATGGGAGTGCACAAAAGGCAACCCATCACAATGGAATAACAAAGAGCAATAGTTAATAATGCCAGTGACGATAACACAGACACCATTCTCAAGCTGTGTGATATACTATTACCACAAATTTGGGGACTGTTAGAGAGTAGATCTTTCTTCTGAGGATTCATTCACATTGTCCTTTAAGCATTTAATACTGTTCCTTAACCCAACCAAATCTTGCCCTTTTACCATTTCAACCTCTGATTGTATTGCTGAATAGTGAATGGCTCATATTCAAGCAACCTGTAAATTATAAAGTGTAGCTTTTTTTACATCATTTTTCCCAGTACCATGTTGAACTAAAGATTATCACAGTTTGAAATCTCACGGGATGCAGCTTTTCAGAAGAAGCATGCTTAAATTAGCTTTCAGTGAGAATTATCAAATTGTGGCATATATAAGGTATCTCCAGAACACGTACAGAATGTCTGTAGCTTGGTTATTATTAGAGGAATTCCACAGTCTCTTTCAAGCTGATCCATATGAATATCTCTCAAATCACGCCAAAAGCCTGTATTGCTGCTAATTACTGTGTGGGGGAAATGTATGCAGTTCTCTTTTTATCTACTCATACTTACTATTCTTTTTTAATTGCTGTCATACAATCCACAGTCAATGATTTACTTTATGATAATTACATTTTTTGCTGTCTCCATTCTTGGTGACATATGAAACCGAACAAAGGAAAAAGGCAAAATATAGAAATAGAGTGTTATAATGACATTTTATAATGTTCAGTTATTATATCATATGTAAATGAATAATTCTCACCATCATTTCTGGACTTGTTTGTTGGCCAGAAATTAGCTATAAGCTCAAAACTGTGATGATGACTACTAATATTATTACTCTTATTGTTTACTAAATCATTTCTTCTAGAGGACCACTATATATCCCACCCATCTGTTAATGATAAAATTATGCAAAACATCAAACATATAACACTCAGTAATCAAGTATCCAACACCACTTTAATCCTGTAATTACAATCCAAAACTTGCTATATGCAAAATATCCAAAATAAGAAGGTGTGAGTCAACTCTTTGAGAACAAGAGCTTTAGACTATATCAAACTCTCTTATAAGCAGTGGGTTCTTCTCTCAATATTTACAGTAATCTTAATTCCATGGGCAATTGGCTTAAACGATCATGCAGAGCTCATAGTGCAAAAGGTTTTTTAAAAGGTTTTAAAATAAAGATTATATTATACACTCACTTTTTACGCCTGCATACAGCACTATTGAATCTTGTTTAACTAGTGAAACAATCAGCTCCACTGAACCACTCTAATCACATCCAGCTCCATACTGTGTTTTTCTTTTTATCTGCCCAACATGTTTTGTCACCAGTGGACTTAGTCACGGGTTGCTCCGAACTGGAACTCTGACTATTATTATTACTATTATTATTTACAGTCTAATAACACAGTGGTTTGTAGAATAAGCTTACTTTCGCTTTAAACAGTATGACCATAATACCATATACTTGCACATTTGTATCCATGGGCTCATTGTATCGAGTCAATCCTGTGCTTAGTACAAGAAATACTTACACGGCCGGATGTCTCTACAAGCTGTACGCTTTAGATATACGTACTTTTCTCAGTACCACTGGGTGATAGCAAATACTTAGTGCTGGTCTGGTCTCTGATTATTTGAACTGGGCTTGTAATGTTGCATTCAAAATAGTGTTTCTGCGGCCTGCACAATAGTTTGTAAAATGTTATTCAACTTCAAGACTAACACTACAGTCTGTAAAATGCATTTCGTTGTCCTTTGTTGCTGTCAGTGCAGTCGGGCAATGTGGACCGGCAGCATTGTTTATACAATGGGTTTGAGGTGTGTGACTGGCAGAATAGCCTGTATGGTTCGGTTGACTATTATTATACAGGATTTGTATAGCGCCAACAGTTTGCACAGGGCTTTACAATATAAGGAAGAGATTATAATCACTGTGTTAGTACATAACTTAGAACCCTAAAATGTAGAAGACTGGAGTAATTTTATTATCTCACTATGGTTCTGATAATAGCCCGAGGCTAACCTATAGAGATGAAGCGAGGGTTTCTAAGTCCAGACATTTTTTTAACGATATAGTGCCCGCAATGCAGCATCTGCCAGTGCTGCTCATCTCCTACCCCCTTTCCTTTCCATTGATATGATAAGAAACATTCACTGAAGCCAAACATTCCTGTGCTTGGATTATACAGGCTTTGTAGATGCCAAATGGTGATGGGAATATGTTTACAGAGCATGTTGTCCTCCTATGACCATTGGAACCTGCAGATAAGGCTGCTCTGAAAGGTTTGGTATTGAATAACATTGATTTTAAATCACTTGACCTTTGTCACACTTTAGTCTTGGCTAGGGAGCCTTGTACAGAAAAATTTACATTACTTTGAAGGAGTGGTAGGAAGATAAGTAAAGCATGCGTTTTACACACACATTTTACCTCTGATCTGTAGGTTAAAACTTACATGGCCAAATTTTCTAGGAGTGGCAATTTTTGCATCCACCACTGTCCACCAATGGTTGGGAATCTTCCAGCCTATGGAGTGATTTAGGCAGGGAAAGACATAGGTCCAAAAGTTCCACAAATGTCTTAAACTACCAAAAACATGAGCAATTAATGAAACAGCCAGGTTTGGGTGAAAATGTCATGTCTATGGTTGGCCCTTGGCCTTGACAGCTAGTCACTGCCAGTGCACACTTCAATCTGACCGGTAAAACAAAACAGTTTTGATTAACATTATCCCCTTTGATTACTTGGTGTTTGCCTCTCCTTCCACTGCTCTTCCTATTCACCTATAACAAGTTTTTTAGATAATTATTTATCATCTAGAAGACAGTGAGAGAAGCTGGGTAGTTCCTGTATTTCACCACCATCTAAAGCAGCTTTACACTGGGGCCTTCAATGAGTAAGCTGAGCACACTGTCCTGTAAAAAAAACACTGTAATTAGTACACCTCTGGACAACTGATACATTCAATTAGAATAAGAACATGAAAAAAAAAACAAAGGATTGCACATGCCTAAATAAATCTACTTATATTTAATAGTTAATGGAGCAAAAAATAGGGTCATGTTCTTTGTTTGAATATTCTTTTCATTTATTGCCTACCTGATCATTCTCAGGAGGGGACCATTTTAAACAGCTGTAAACTCTGATCAGTAGATTGATATGACAGTAGTGTATGCAGAAGAAAAATGAATGTCTTTATCTAGCTGTAGCAAATACATTTGTTGTCTGTAAGCCCGATGCCCATTGAGCTTTTTTCTTTCCAAAGCAAGGCGGGTTCCCTGTGGTGATGGAGTGGAAAGAGTTTGTGCATGAAATGCAGTATTTGTTGTTGTTGTAATGATACAGTCCCGTATTCCCAGAGCTGCTGTATTATTGAGTGTGCTGATGAAATATTGATGTAATTGGTAGATTGGAGTCTCTTGATTTCCAAGTCTGGTTTGTACAAACAGCAGTATGTGTTCAAAGGATTTAGCTCTGCAGACAATGGCAAGTGGTATTTATTATCATTTTAAAAACTATATAATTTTCATTATCTGTATTGTATGAAGATGAATCTGTGCCCACCCTTCCGCTATAGCTGTTGTTAGACTGCCAGTCATTAATGCTGGTGAGCAGTGGAAAATATAGTTTTAGTATAGTGACAGCTAAAGAGTTAGGCATTTAATTTCTTGATTGCCTGTCTAAACAGAGTTCATGTTTTATCACTGCCAACTATGTTACAGGCAGATCATTATTCTAGAATATAGCAGGGACTTTCATTATTATCTCATAGCTCAAATGCATATGTGACACCAAGGATAGTGGTGGCACTTGTCAGTGTTCCAAACACCTCTTCTTTAGCTATTGATTTGTTGTTCAGGCATGAGCCAAAAGTATGTAATAGGATGGTTTATTCACATGTCCTTGACTGACCTCATCAAACCTTTTTTTTTGCCTTTGGCCTGTATATACATTATAAGCATACTAGGGCTGCAGCTAACGATTATTCTCATAATCGATTAGTTAGCCGATTATTAAGTTCGATTAATCGGATTTTTAAAAAAGGCTCCAGTGATGGACTACTAGTTTGTATTGAGATTGTAGTCCATCACGGCAGAAAGCTTGGAGTGGTGGAAGTAAAAAAAAGTGTGGTGTGCAATATAGTACATTATACAGCGGCGCAGTGCAGAATACCAGCAGCTATAGAGGAATACAGCAAATTGCAGCAATAGGGGATAGAGAGGACGAGTATGATGATGGAATGGAGAGGACGGGTATGATGGTGGGATGGGGGGCAGAGGACGGGTATGAAGGTGGAATGGGGTGCAGAGGACAGGGATGATGATGGAATGGAGTCCTCTCCATCCCTGCACTCCATTCCATCATCATCCCTGTCCTCTGCACCCCATCCCACCCATCCTCTCCATCCCTGCACTCCATTCCATCATCATCCCTGTCCTCTGCACCCCATCCCACCCATCCTCTCCATCCCTGCACTCCATTCCATCATCATCCCTGTCCTCTGCACCCCATCCCACCCATCCTCTCCATCCCTGCACTCCATTCCATCATCATCCCTGTCCTCTGCACCCCATCCCACCCATCCTCTCCATCCCTGCACTCCATTCCATCATCATCCCTGTCCTCTGCACCCCATCCCACCCATCCTCTCCATCCCTGCACTCCATTCCATCATCATCCCTGTCCTCTGCACCCCATCCCACCCATCCTCTCCATCCCTGCACTCCATTCCATCATCATCCCTGTCCTCTGCACCCCATCCCACCCATCCTCTCCATCCCTGCACTCCATTCCATCATCATCCCTGTCCTCTGCACCCCATCCCACCCATCCTCTCCATCCCTGCACTCCATTCCATCATCATCCCTGTCCTCTGCACCCCATCCCACCCATCCTCTCCATCCCTGCACTCCATTCCATCATCATCCCTGTCCTCTGCACCCCATCCCACCCATCCTCTCCATCCCTGCACTCCATTCCATCATCATCCCTGTCCTCTGCACCCCATCCCACCCATCCTCTCCATCCCTGCACTCCATTCCATCATCATCCCTGTCCTCTGCACCCCATCCCACCCATCCTCTCCATCCCTGGGGTGCAGGGATGGAGAGGACGGGTATGATGGTGGAATGGAGTGCAGAGATGGATGGGATGGGTATGATGGTGTGATGGGGTGCAGAGGACGGGTATGATGATGGAATGGAGTCCTCTCCATCCCTGCACCCCAGGGATGGAGAGGATGGGTGGGATGGGGTGCAGAGGACAGGTATGATGATGGAATGGAGTGCAGGGATGGAGAGGATGGGTATGATGGTGGGATGGGGTGCAGAGGACGGGTATAATGATGGATTGGGGTGCAGAGGATGGGTATGATGGTGGGCTGGGGTGCAGAGGATGGGTATGATGGTGGGTTGGGTTGCACAGTGTTGGGCTCCGGGGGGGGTCGGGGCACTTACTGTCTGAACATTCCCTCCATGTCTTCTGCTGAAAGGTTTAGCCTGGATGCCGGCTCTTCCCCAGCCATTGTCTCCGTCCCCCGGCTGACACCCGTCGCGCTCACATCCCCAGCACCCGTCATGTGATCGGCCCGGCTAGATGTGAGGAGCGCAGGGATTGGAGGAGAGCCGGGAGCTGGGCCGTCGCGGCGTGTGCGTTCGGTGGGCGTGGCGTGCGCTGCGTGCCGGGCTTGAGTGTGGAGCCGCAAACAGGCAAGGTAATAGATAGCCGAATAATAGACGATCGAAAACGTTGGTAACGTTTTCGATCGTCGATTTTAATCGACTAAATTGAATCGTTGTTGCAGCTCTAAAGAATACATATATTTCTTTACAGTGCAGGGGGGGAAAAATAAGGCAGGTGCATTTTGGCCCATAGACATGTTGAAGACCCATTGAAAATTAATGGGCAACACACGACTAAGTGCCAAAAAAACACATCAGCAAGCACACAATTGGGTGTGAAAAGGTTCTAAATGTATATTTCTTCTGCTTAAATTAGGTACGACTATCTATACAACCAAATGCTCTGAAACCTTGCTTTAGGCTGTCTCCCAAGAAAATATTTCTGCATCTGGAAACAAAGGCAAAAAAATTAATTTTGTTACTTTTGTGTATTATCATCTCTTTTTGTAGGACCATTATTATAGTCGCACACTTTTCATATAAGCACCTTTGTCATGAATAAGAAAGATTGTCCTTGCCCAAAACATATATCAATAAAGACTATTGAAAAATCTCTGCATATCAAAACAACAGCTGTTAAGTGTTGACAACCCATCATGTCATACTTATCAATGCCAAGTAGCCCACATTGTATTTGCGGAAAAAAAGGCATATTGTGGAAAACAAGCAAGTGGCCTTGGCTATCATACAAATACAGACTAGAATGTAGAAGGATGCAGAAATAATTAAACTGTATCTTTTCTTTATATATGCATATGAATATACTTGCTAACACAATCATTTCACTTTAGCAATAACTGTATATTAATTCTTTGAAGAAGTTTTTACTAATTGAGTTTATATTGGATGTTGTTTTGTGGAAGCTGACTAAAGTTTTATTAAAATACTTTATTTGAAAATAAAATTGCAGCATTTTAATGCCTTTTCATTATAAACCAATAAGCATGTGGTAATTAAAATGATTGTCTGAGTGACAGGCATGTAACCAAGTTGTCATTTTCTCTTCACAGTTGACAGATCCTTTCAGGCCTATGTTGAGGGTAAGCGCTTTTCTTGGCATATGAAAATATGGATAAATTAATGGAATTATTGGATAAACAGATTACCAATTATGTCCATGGTGCAGCCAGTTCTGTTGTAAAACTTAAATAAGAGACACTTGTCCAATTTTAAATGGCAAATTTCACAAATATATCTGAAAATATGTCATAGCAAAAGGCACTTTGATGTTTATTTGCTTTTTAATACAACCAACCTAACCGATCCCTGCCGTATGCCAGATAACAGTACATAGTAAATAGGATAAGTGTGATAGTTTAACAATTACTATGTAAAGAACAGTAGTGTATATAATATGACATCCATTTGTAGCAACCAGGTAGTTCATCATTCAAGGGACAAAGTATAGGAAGCATTTGTAATCACCAAGAAATCAGAAGCATTGGTTCTGTGATGGAAACCAACAGGTCTATTCACCGAAGTGTTTGGAGAAGGCAGGAGCATTTAACAATCTAGGACAACATAGCTGAACTGGAAAGTGAGATGAATTGGAGAATTTTGGGAAATCGGCTGTTTCGGCCTATATTGTTCACGTCTCCTGCCTTCTCCAAACTCTTCACACTTTAGTGAATAGACCTGTAAGCCTTAAGAATTAAGTGAGCATAAACAGAATGGGTCATTTTTTATATTTATTAAACTAAATTTGAAGAAAGATTTGCTCATATATGGCCATCTTGATGGTTGCCAGATTATTGAAAATTAATTTGTGGTTACACTACGCCATTTTACACAATGTTTGACCTGTGAACCTGGCAAGATGTGAATACAGTCATGTTCCTTCTTGAGGTTAAAGGAGAATTATGACCTAAGGGCAAATAAAAATACCCCTTACCTTGATTGTAGTAGCATTCTTCCTTTTTTCTAAAATCGCAGCACATCACAGATAAAATTCTCAAAACCTGTAGTAAACGGCCATCTTCAGCCCTGCTCCGAGCTCCTTTCCTCTTAGGGACCGTTAACCGTTGATCCAGCCTGCCCACAGCTTTTTAAAAAAGTTATCCCATTGCTGTCGCCGCGCTTCCTATCATCGTGCACAGCTGTGTTTTGTGAGCATGTGCACGCTGGCATTTGTGAGCGGGAGGCGGAGTCTGAAGTGAAAAGGCAGCAGCAAGAGACTGTGAGAAATAAACGGACTCAGCCTCCCTGCACATTGCTCTTTCCCCTCTCTCATCAGCGATCCCCAGTAATTAGGATGTCAGCGTCACACAGGGGGAGAGAGAGAGGGGATAAAGAGCCATCCCTCTCTCCATCATTTACCAGAAATGGGCAAGTCCATATATGGTGAATTATGTCACTGGGTATCCCTGCAGACTGGAAAGCATCTGATCAGCAGGGATCCCCAGTGACAACATTCATCATATATGGACCTGCCCATATGTGGTAAATGATGAAGAGAGAGGGCTCCTTCTCCTATCTCTCTCTGCATGCCCTGTGTGACGCTGACATCAATCAAATCACTGGGGATCGCTGAAGAGAGAGGGGAAAGAGTGCTTTCTCTTCAGCATTTACCACATATGGGCAAGTCCATATATGGTGAATAATGTCACTGGGGATCCCTGCAGACTGGTAAGCATCCGATCAGCAGGGATCCCCAGTGACATAATTCACCATATATGGACTTGCCCATCTGTGATAAAATATGAAGAGAGAGCTTCTGACACGGGACAAGATCAATGCACTGCACACTACACGTGAAGTAGGCGGGGCAGATGGAGAGGAGGAGGGAGGGGATCAAGGGCTACACTGCAGCGTGTCTGGAAGGCTGGCACAGAGGACGGGGACAGGCAGGTAAGGAGAGCTGCGTGCACAGAGCTGCTGCGCATGTCCATATATTCATGGACGCGCAGCAGCTCTCAAGAATCACTGTCAGTCACAGTGACGACGATCAGTGGGGAGGATCTCGACAGTATTGTCGGGATCTCTCCTCAGTGCGGCGCTTAGCCCCGCCCACCATCTTAAAGAAGGGTTTACAGACTTAGGGTGCATTTTGGCTAATAGGAGTAAATTACTTTTTTAGCCTAAGAAATGCAATAATAAAGAAGAGGTAGAACCCCCATAGTTCTCCTTTAACAAAGTTGTTCTCATTCTAATTTTTCTTATTGTATGACATGCTTGTAGTATTTGTAAAAAAAAACTCCATGCATTACAAAATATTAGAAAAAAATGTAATGGCTCAGAAGTCCCATGCAGAAGTGTAATGCACTTCCTTCACAATCTGCTACAGACAGACAGACAACCTGTGTATTTTAGTAGATCATCTCCTAACTGATATGTGTCACTGTAATGTAAATATATTTATTTTTCATCTGGCAGAAACCTGGAAAATGGTGTGCCATGCACGTGCATATTGCCTGGCAAATATACCATCATCAACAAAAGGTCAAAGTAAGTGTCAGCCTGCCTCTTTATTTGATTCTGTTATACTGTTTTTAATACACTATTTCCAGTTATTTGATTTTTTCATTAATTAGTTGGACTTGGCAGACCTGGGCTAATCAGGTATATAAACTGTATTTTAAGAACAAACAGTAAACAGTCCTTTCGTAATAAGGTATTGTTTATTGAGCAATAAACCAAATCAATTTAGCTATGCTTGCACATTGAAAAAAAATCACCTTTCAAAGACCTTAGTAAGCAGAACTTGTGAAATCTGACTGGATGCGATGGGTCACTTGATTTCATTGCTCTTTGTATTGCTTGTGTTAATAATGATTATAGTTACTTTCGGAAAACAAGCAAATCAATATAAAACATTGTTAGTATAGTTAGGAATAATTGCAAAGATACCCTTGATGATCTTTTCATGCTGTCTATATACTGGAAGTTTTTGGAAAGATTCCATCAATGGAAAAGAACAATCCACCTTCTAGTTTCAAATGACCAAACTATTGTAACTGGGGTGGGAATTGATCTAAACCACTGTATTATCAGTTAAAAGGCTTTTTAAATCAGTTTCAACCTGAATGTTGATCATTTCATTATTCAAAGCCAGGAGGCAATCAAAATCATGGGTGGCAGACTACCACAAGACCCTCAGTTCCTTTTCAATTTTTTTTATGGAAAATGTCCAAAATTGGCAGATGTATGACCACCAATTGAATTATAAAAAGCAATGTTTTTTTTTAGTCTTGCAATACTACCCTTTGAGAGTATTATGAAGGTAGTAGCATAGGTCCCAGTTTAGGCAAGTTGGGTATTTTTCTTTCAGCCCTTCTACTGTATATATTAGGAATTATTTTAGCTGACGTTTGTTTGGAAATGTAGTTATCTTTCAATCATTATACCATTATCAGATATATTGTTTAGTTGATTTTCCTATGGTAAAAATCTGATTACACTTTCCATTAAAAACATAAACAGAATCTCTCGCCGAGCATGTTATTTATTTCATGTTTGTGAAATAGTAGACTATAAATAATGCTTGCTGGTACTTTATAGCTCCCAGGGGCATTGTAGAAACATTAATTAACTTTCTTTCCCTTCATTTAATACATAATGGAATTTGAAAGCACATTCTCTCATCTTACTAAGGTGATCTGGTGTGTATTTCTAAACTGCAACTACTAATGAGACTTTTCAATATGTCTCATGTTAATGTAAGGCATGCATTGGGCCTGATTTAGTAAAAGGAAATGCAAAAGCGCAGGAAGAAATCATTATGGAGATAATTGGCTTGCTTGTGCTGCCAGTCTACCGAACGTGTGGGTGTTTGTGTGCACAGTGTACATGACATCTTAAAGCTGCACTCTGGGCTCCACCTACCCTAACATACACACCTCATCCCACCCCTTCTAACTAATTGGTGACGTATAAATAATAAAACCCTATCTAAATGCCAAATTTTCTTGCCTTCATCCACGGTAGTGCCACATTTGGGTTCAGAGCCTTCTTGGTGCATAGAAGATAGGGGGTCCTTCTTTGGGTGTCCACTCACCGCCTGCATGACCTGGATACTTCTTTTGGCTGTCCAGTGGCAGGGTCCTGGTGGAGTCAGCAGGCAATGTCTATAGAATAAGGGGACTGTCAGGGACTGCCCAGTAGCCGATTACTGGATCTGGATATGAAAATGGCACCTGCAAGTGACCTGTGCGGTGTGCTTAGATAAGTAAATCTTTGCTTCAGCAGGTATTCCTAACTAAAGAAAACAGAAGGGAGTTGCAGGATTCTGGTTAATTTTTGCCCATAGATGGGATTTAACTTATCTGCTAAACACTCATGTTCAGTGCATACATTACAGTCGCTCTTTGCAGTGTGCACATAAAAAAAATGTGGGTGCCTGATATGCAGATAACGTGCACAAAAGTAATATATGTGCTTAGGTTCTGTATTTTAAAAAATAACTATATTATGACAAGCAGAGTGATTGGTCACCGTAGCAAATGTATGGACAAAAGAAAGGAACCCCTAAACAAACAGGCAATTACAGGTATTTACCATCACAACATACTTTTGCAAGCAAAAGCATAATAAATCGCTTGTTGTAGTCAAAACATTCATGCAACAAATTTGTGTATTCAAAGCACTAGGAAAATGAATATTAACATAATTATATATTAATATAAAACATATTGTTTTCATATCTTTTAGTAAATACATGGTGCTTTTAGAATGTATAGAAGCAAGCACTGAGTATATTGGATGAAGAGACAATAATTTCTAGTTAAAGTGACTCTAAGCTCAGGAGTTAAAACTTAAAAATGCATTCAAGTACCTTAACTATTAACACAAATGTATATTATTTGTGTATCACTAGGCTGTAGATCCTCAAATCATCTCTGAATTGGTGCTGACACTGTCCTTCCTTCTGGAGGGTGGCCACTTTTGTTCCCCATGGTCCCTGTGTTAGTTGTAAAGTAGCCACCGCTCCAAGCTTACTTCTGTGATGGACTACAATCTCACATTTGCTTTACTAATTTGTATTGAGATTGTAGTCTAACACAGGAGTGAGTTTGGAGTGTTGGCTACTTTACAACACACACACAGGGGCCATGGGGAACAAAAGAAGCTCTAACACCTGAGTTTAGTGTCACTTTAAAGCTGTCTTAACAGATAAAGATAGAGACAGAAATATTGGAGCTTCCAGCATTGATTTGGCGTAGCCTCCAGATTTGTTGACCCACTCATTGCTTTTCTACATGGTGAGCCACTGAATTGGAAAATCATGCTGGATGGGAGTACAGACTTCGATGGTTGCATGCTTGTTTCACGTCAGTGACAAAACAGGTAGTAATTACAGCATTAAAATAAAAACAGAGCCATCATTATTTAAAATAAGTCATCAGTAGTATTGCATGCATTTGTATCCTAAGTCACATCAACATCATATGAAACCATCAGTGGTAATTGCTTTAAACCAAAAATAGACAGTGCTGATATCAAATATTAAATCCAGCACACTTCAGTATAAGGCATTGAAACTGATTATGTGCAGAAATACATAGTTTCTCAAAATGCAAGCAGTTAAAAGAAAAGAACAACCATTACAAGCTGATTTAATGAACATTGATACGTTTTTTTAAATGCATAAATTTGGGATTCCATGGATTGCTGCTTGGCCTCTTTGCCCCAGAAATACTATTTATTTACGTTTAATTATCCAGAGCTGGAATGTTCGTTTCTGTGTTATTTTAAGTGAGGAGAATTTTCCCTCAGAGACCACAGTAACCAAATGAGAAAAACTATTAAAATAACAGCTAATTCACACAGGAGTTTGTAAATAGACTCCAATGATCGCTTTTGTGTTTTCCCTAAAGCAAGAGTGTAAAGCCAGCTATCTTGATTCAGTACAACAAACATATTATTCTATCTATCTATCTATCTATCTATCTATCTATCTATCTATCTCTCTGTCTGTCTATTAATCCCTATTTACATAGGTACAGTTTAATACATAAAGACATAATTTTTCATTTATATTGAGCAAAACATGGCTTATACAGAATCACAAATATCAATTTAGGTAGACCATGAGTAGAACCCCTAAAATTAGCGATTCCTCAGGCAGACCTGATAAAGCCCACTCGCCTGCTCGCAGACCCTTCTCTACCCATATCCACATATAGGGCACACTATCCTCCCATGCTGTAGTAGTGGCAAGTATTAGACTACTACCTGCCCTTGTAGAGCAATGGGTGCATAGCAGCATTGTTGAAGAGCCTGCTCCTGTACTGTTGTGTACTAAAGTCCTAGTTCTGTAATGTTATGTGAAATGTACACATGATTCAAAATTCCTTGCTTAAAACTAACATTTTGTGAATCTCTTCCTTTGCAATATTGAGATGACATGTTACACAAATAAAACCTGTAATTTCATCATAGGATATTATTATTGTTATTGCTGTCTCTGTATAGGGTAAACTTTTGTGTGGCTGTTTGTTCACAATTTTGCCTTCAAGTCATGTCTCTGCAATTTATCCGTCTGTCACTTCTGATGATATCAGATTTAAGAAAGTGTTATTTTCAATTATAGCACACACAAAGATCGTTTTTGCAATTTCAAGGTGTGAATGTGCCATTTTGTATGGTCTTTGAAGTCTCCTTTTTTTTATCCGCCCACGGGGGAAATCTCAATTCCTGACATGCTTTCCATTTTAGAAACAGATGCAGACAGATCCGCACAAGCTGGATTTTGGCCTAAAGCCTGAGTTTTTGAGCAGGCCACCAGGTCCAAGCCTCTTTGGAGCTATTCATCACCATCCGCACCACCATGACTTGGCACGCCCTTCCACACTGTTCACTGCTGCCGGTGGGTATAAATTTAATTTCTTTTACAGTTATTGAACTTACAGTCTATTAAAAATTAGAGCCATAGAGAGCCAGCCTAAATTATTTTACTATCTCTGTCTGAACGTTTGAAATTAAGGGAACAGAGGGCATTTTGTTTGCACTGCCCAGTTATATGTACTATTGTTCATTAGAACCTATACGGTTAAAAGGTGCTTTGAAAAAAGTACTATGAAATATTTTTCAGTACTTGGGAAAATAATTTTAACAATGAACATCATTTTTTTAGTATAATTATAGACATCTGTATTAGGGGTTGACCGATATGTTTTTTTCAGAACCGATATCGATTATGGGCCACCTTTCAGGCCAATAACCAATATCATGTACCAATATTCTGTTTACATCCAGCTGTGGAATCTTGCACCGGCAGCTGAATGTATACAGCAGGCAGTGGGCCTGATATCGGTCAACCCCTACTGATGGCAGTGAAGGGGAGCCACTTTTATTACCGGTAAATTTAACCGATTCCGATAATTTAAACAATTGTGAATATAGGCCCCGATTATCAGTAGATCCGATAATCGGTCGACCCCTAATCTGTATGTATATGGCAGAGTAATCTTCCTGAACATGTTAACATCAATATAATTTGAGTTATACATAGGTACCACTACATCTGCTTTGGAGAAATTAGACTTTGAAAATTTAAATTGAAAAAAAAAAAAACATTCTTAGTAGTAACAATGTATATAGGCCATATATCAGGGTGACCCATGAGTAAAAGAGAACTAAACTATCTGTAGTAATTACTTTGCATGTACCCACCTATTTACCCCTCTACTTACAACTGGCTGGGGCCTCTCCTTTCAGAACCCCTGCCTGAACCCCTGAAATTTTGGTTTGCCAAAATTTGTAGCTGCTTTCCTTTCATCACCTCAACTTGGATCATTCAATGGATTACCACATGCCTTCTGCACCCATTTGTCTCAGTTCAGTGTAAAAAGTATTGGCTTTCAACAGGCAGGCTATGTTTCCTCAAAGAAAAGTCTCCAAGAACTCAGATTTGATTGGTGGTGCTGTTAAAATAGATGAGCAGCAAAGTTTCTAAAGAACAGCCGTTTGAAAAATAAATTTCCAAGGTTTCCTCAGACGTCATGCTTTTATAAACAGTCCAACCACTCTACACTGTTTTCCGGCTAAGCTGCACATTCAGTGTGTAGAGCATGTCATATGAGCACTATAACCATGAATAGTACTACTGATGAAATGAAAAACAACCGAGTGTGATGACGGCAGTTATAAAATACATTGTCTATTTTTTTTAATTTAGCTGTTCCAAAGTTATTTGCTGCAGATACTCGCGGTCATCTAAACTGTATAAGAAAAATTTGGCTACCTTTAGTCACAAAGTATATGAGCCTTTATCTGTTGTATTTGCTGCAGGTACAAATGGGCAACTTAATTAAAAATATTTATATATAGCTAACTGGATGGGGTGATCAATGTATAGATAACCGTTCAGTTTGTAAGTACACTGAATATTTGTTCACTTACTGTGTGAAGTAGGCAGATAGCAACTATTGTTCTGGTAATTATTTAAACCAAGAGCAATTTTTTTAAAATTTTACCATGATTTATTAAATCATGGTATGGAAACCTGTATGATTCATCTTGCTTATTTATATTATTTATTTTCCTTTTTAGGTGGAGCACACCCAGCTGGCGGACCTTTTGGTCCTCCACCTCATCACAGTAATTTTCTTAACCACTCTGCTCATCTTGGTAAATGAAACAATTTATATTGTATTATTATGTTTATTTAATGAGCATCCTTAAATCTACATTCACACTAGCAGTCCTGCATTTAGATTTTCTAAATGCAGTAGAAATGATCTGGGAGGTACAAAACCAACTCTATGCTTCCCAAATTACTTTCTCCTGGGTTTAGATGTACCTGCTTTAAAGCGAGTTAAGTTGTGTTTACATGCATTTAGCCGCAAAACACAGGTAAATGCTCAGTTTTAATGATATCATTAAAAAATAATTATATGCATTTATATGCATTTAGAAATGTCCTTTGAATACATATAAACAGAGGTTTGTCAATGCCAGTGGGAATGAGACCTTACTCAGCCATGTTTATTGTTTTTTAATTATGACCGTACCTACCCAATTGATGTTGGGAAAGAAAACATGTGATTGACAATAACATACTGTATGTGAAGTCCAGCTGTGTTTAAAACACTCTTACCTGTTATGTGCTATTACATTTGTAAGAATTACATTTTTTAAGAATTGTTTGTTACATATAACAGTCTAATAGATACACATGAATGGTTGCAGTAAACTGCAATCCTCCATTATTTTTCACTCAAGCTTTTGTAGGTTGACTGCAGTGTATGCAGTAAACTGGTTTGTATAAACTACATCCAACTTTGTATAGCAATTGAGCATAAGCTAGAACAATGGTAGTGGCACAAAAAACAGTTGACTATATTTATACGTTTACAGTAATTACAATGAGAAAAAAATAATAAAAGCAGATGTTTTCGGTAAATTAGTCTTATCGTTGATGTGTCTTTTGTTTTCATAGAACCATTTAATCGTCCACCAACATTCACTGGTCTTGCTTCCGTGGGAGGAAATGCCTTTGGGGGACTTGGCAATCCCTCAGTTAGTGAGTAAACATTCATACATTAAAACAAAAGTAATACAAATTAGGAATTATGCCATTGCTGCAAAAGGGGTAAAACATCAGTAACATGTATGTAACTTTTTAGCTTTGTGTAACAGTAGCATGGGATATGTTATTGTAATCGCAAAAGAAAAAAAATAAAGTAAAAGCTTTTCTATAGCCTTGTTTATGTGTTGAAAGCTGAGGATAATTTTAAGAGTGCATTTATATCCGTAGTGTTGAGTTGTGAGGATATGGTGCTTATACGGTTACACAGATAGTACCCTCTGTTAACCATGTCCAGTTTTAATGGAGACCAAATTAACTGTAAATCATTATATTGGTGAGAACCACCTGCAACTACTTTTGAATCAGCTGATGTTCCTGATTTTATAGATATGAACCAACACCATATAAGTATTTATTCCAGTGAGCAGTGAAACAGGACTACAAAGCTCTGAACATGACATTTCAGTCATAAGCACATCCTCATATTCAAGCATGCAAAACATACTATGAGCACTGTAATTTCCTTGCACAATAGAATACAAACTATGTGGTCTCTAGAAAAATATTGTATTGTCCAGTTAAGCCTACATCAACCTGCATTTATTTTTCTGGCCACCAGGTGCATGTGCATACTATATTTTACTTGTTGGGACATTCATTTTGCTCACTGTCAAAAACGTAGTACTAAAAAAATATTAACTATTAAACGAACAGAGATATTTATTAGTGCACATTTTAATGCCTAGCCCCTCTCTTGCATATACTCAAATCCCTTTATTTAATTTGCCACTGGCAGGAAAGAGGAATACCAGTACTTCATGGTGTAAAGGAGCATGTGACTTACTCTTCTTCCTCTGATGTAACAGTACCTGTGCTTGGTGATTGCCCCAGCACTGTCACATAGGGATGGGAAGGGAGTCCTAAGCCTTGTATAAGCTGTGACTTGGATTGACTTACACAGGGCTGCCGGCAGGGTTTACAATACAATTTGCATAGTGTATACATTTGTGACTTCCATATAATGGTGACTATACATATAATTTTTGTTGCACTGTAGTTTCCTCAGTTTTCTGAAATGTATCCTTATGAATTTACAATATATTAAAGTGTACTCTGGACTGAAAATTATTGAAAAACCTCCACTGCCCCATAACCTAAGTTTACATGTGGAGCTGCCTAATCTTACCTGGTACCTATTGGCGATCTAAATTATTTGTCAGAACCAGAATGCACAGGCATGCTTTCAATGGACAAAATCTGTTTCCAGACTAGCTGTCAATCCTTTGACAGCTCCCACGTGATCTATCAGCACGTTTGTGCACTGGTTCCCTTCATTATGGGGTCAAGAAACTGGTGGACCTGTGAATTCACGGTGCAGAGTTTTCACTAGCAAAAAGCATAACTTGCTAGTGAGAGAATCAACCTGCCAGCATGCAGCCAAAGCTAAGATATTACTTTTTGGCTGACCTTTTAAAAGCTATATTATACCTGAAAAAGATGTGTCAAATACCATTCTTCAAAGTACATATTTTGCATATATATTTATATAAGTAACAGATGCTTTAAATAGTTTTTTTTCTGTTTTGTTTTCTTTTATAGCATCCAACTCAATGTTTAGCCATAAAGAAGGGCCAAATCTTCAGGGTTTCAATAATCCTCACGAACCATGGAATCGACTTCATCGAACGCCACCTTCGTTCCCAACACCTCCTCCCTGGCTTAAACCTGGAGAGCCTGAGCGCAGTTCTTCTGTTACAGCTCACGATCGAGATTCAGAGAAAAGAGAATCGTCATCCAAAGATGATAAAGAAAGGTGTGTAAGATAATTTCAATAGAGCAATCAATGAATGCTTTCATTTGTAGGAGCTCACGCAGGTAGCTAAATTTCATTGCTGAGAGATAAATTGGTACTCTGTTGGTGAGACCTATGGGCAGTGGAGGATCAGTAAACAATTGCCAACCAGGTATTTCTTCTTCCAGTGGAGTTGTACTTTGGTTACCTAGAGGAAGATCTTTGTATTCACTGCATTTCCCATCTGTTATCAGAAAATATTAATCTCTGACTATATAGTTTTTACATTACATTTATCCTCATTGGTTAGACATGGATGACTTTAAAAACTGTAATGCATGTATATTTGCACCCAACACTAAGATACACATGTAGCTTTATGCCACTTAGTAGTCACATGATAAACCTAATATGAATGAATGGGAGCACCTATGTAAATGTTTTGACATTTAACCTGATTGAAATGAAATAGGAAAAAAGCTTGAGGAACACAAATGTATGTTCCATAAGCAAAGCCAAATATATTGGCTTTATATGTAATATGTATTGAAACTGACTATGATTATGGTTATCATAAAAGTGAATATTTGGCAGAACCAGGTGGAACCAGCACTATGAAATAAAACAATAAAATTGAATGTAGAAAAACTCAATTCTTTTAACATTGAAAACTCACATCCACTTTTTTGACATTGCTTATTGTAATATATGCAAGTTACTTTTCTTTAAAATAATTTATAGAAACAGCATATTTGTGATTTACATATAGCTAGATGTGTACAAATAGAGACAGAGGTATAGAAATTAAACATTATGCAACAGGGTTCTATACAGAACATTTGATTATATTCTAGGCTCACTATATACAGTATACAGATAATGTAGTGCAACAGTCATTGTTTACCTTTTATGGTGTTAATGATTACTGCACCTCCTTGCTGTCCCCTGGAGCTGTGCACTGATATGTATCACCTACATTGATCCCTTGCTCCCTGACTTTGCTCTATTCTCCAAACCCACAAGGAAATGTCTCAGTCTGTCAAGGTTGTCATCATGTGATAATCAGCACACCATCAGGAAGTGAATTACTGTGGTGACCAGGAGAATCTCATACAGCTCTGATCAGAAAATATTACTAGTGTTTAGCATCCGCGCTGTAGTGGCTTCTGCCACCTACTCATGCTATTCACATTGTGATCAATGTGCTCATGGTCACATAGTCACATTATCGTGGGGTAGTGTGAGAGCTAAGAAAAAGCGATGAGAAAGCAGTGCCATGGAGACAAAACAGAGAATTTTTGAACCTGTGGAAAAATGTCACCAATAAATCTAAAATTATGACAATACAGTACAGCTCGCCATGCCTGACTGATGTGGTGGGTGCTTGTCTAGACAAGATATTACATGACAATGTAAATGTTGCCATGTCACAGGAACATACAGCTGAGGAGCTTGGAGGTAGGGATCATCTCTTTTGTAAGACATTATTAGTTAGAATTAAATCATTACTTATGCAGTGACACATGGGCAGTATCTTGGCAATAAGCTGCTGCATTTGACAGCCAACTATCTCACTTTCCTGGCTGGATCCCATATGATGGTGCTTACAGTTTTATTTGTCCTATTTCAGTAACACAACGGGACTGGTAAACCAATAATTAATGGTTTTGAATTAATCATATCCTGCATAAGTTTTCTGGAGTTTGTAATTTGCACAAACTTTTTGATCTGGTCATAACTTAATGACTATTTTTTTAAAGCTTTAGCTAAATTTATTGACATACATGAGATGTGTGTGTCCTACCCAACTGTTCCTTCCATTAAACATTTTATTGTATATAATTTGCTCCCAAAAATTATGGTAGGTACGTGAGTTGCAGTTCTCAGCTTAGTTTAGTATGATGTGTATTTATGTTATATGTTATTTATTTCTTACTGTCTGTACATTAAGCTCATTCTCTTTTTCTAGGGAAAGCAATGAGAAAAGGCACTCCAGTCATCCTTCACCAGCACCTGTTAGTCAAGTTAATTCATTGGGACATAATCGCAGTTTATCTGAACAAAGTAGAAACCACCTAAATAATGAGATACGAGACAAAGAAAAGACCAAGGACCGTGAAAGGGATCACTCTGATTCATGGAAAGAAGCTAACGTGGAAGAGCACAAAGCAAAAGAAAACCATATTTCTGAAAAGGAAAGCATTGTACATGAGAACAGAGCTGCAGAGGAAGCCAAGCAACTCTCAAGGGTGCCCTCCCCTTATGTTAGGCCACCAGTGATGGAAAGCACTAGACCTAATAGCACTTCAAATAGAGATGAGAGAAAAATTGAGACATATGACAGTCAAAAGAAAAGTAACGATGTCAAAGTAAAAGAGGAAAGAAAGGAAGATCATGATGTTTTAGTTTCTGAGGCACCAACTGTGCATAGGTCCTCTGAACAACCTCCTCCAATATCTACATCAAATGTTCATCCAAGCCATTTAGGATCCATGCCAATGGCTGTGGGCGTAACAGGGATGCACCCAATGAACAGTATTGGCGGCTTAGACAGAACTCGTATGATGAATCCTTTCATGGGTATAAGCCCAATCCCAGGTGGTGAACGTTTCCCTTATCCATCATTTCATTGGGATCCTATGAGAGATCCACTAAGAGACCATTACAGAGGACTAGATATTCATAGGCGTGACCCCCTTGGAAGAGATTTTTTGTTGCGAAACGATCCACTTCATCGACTTGGCACGCCTAGATTATATGAAACAGACAGATCATTTAGAGACAGGGAACCCCACGATTACAACCATCATCACCACCATCATCTTTCTGTTGACCCACGTAGGGAACACATAGAAAGAACAAGCCAGTTGGAAGAGAGGGAACGGTTACACATGCTTCGAGAGGACTATGAACATGCCCGTTTACATGCAGTTCATCCAGCTGCATTGGACGGCCACCTGCCTCACCCAAGTTTAATTACGCCAGGACTTCCAAGCATGCACTATCCCAGGGTCAGTCCCACAGCTGGACATCAAAATGGACTTCTTAATAAGGCTCCGCCAACAGCAGCACTAAGTGCCCCCCCTCCCCTAATTTCTACTTTGGGAGGCCGACCAGGATCTCCCAGGAGGACTACTCCATTGGCCGCAGAGATAAGAGACAGACCTCCTTCTCACACTTTGAAAGATATCGAAGCACGGTGAATCTAATAAATGGAGCTTGAGGACAATTAGCCTGATTTAAATCAGAGCAAGACTTGACATACAATCTTTGTACAAATGTAAAGCCTCTAAAAGAGCAATGATTTTCACTTTTTGTATATTATATGTTGCAGATTTCCAGATCTTTTAGCCAATTCAAATGTTTGTCTTTGATTGATTTATTTTACTAATGTAAAGCATTTGATTGGGACTGAAGGAAATAATTCATTAGACCTATTTGGACTGTATCAGACTTGTGATATGGAAAGAAAATGTAAATATGTATTTACAATGATTTGCTTCATTGGTTATTGGTTCATATATGCAAAAGGATAGGATGAAAGCTTTACTATGTACAAATGTAAATAGACATAATACAATAATACTTCTTAAACTGTGCAGTTTACAACCTTGCTATTTATAACACAGTTTGCTCTTACTGTGTATGTTATTAGAGACAACTAAACCCCCTCAACTATGCAATTATTATGGAGGCTTTGAACATAAAGCCATTGTAACATGAATGGAGCTTTTTCCCACATTCACACAATTAAAGTCATATTGTCCCTTCGAAAATCATATTGCAATACCTATTGCTTTATTCTAGACTTCGACCTGTATTTAAGATTTTTTCCCATTCTAAACAAGGATGCCACAAATATGCCCCATGATTGATATGCAGCAGCCACATTAAAATGAAGTTAACCTATTGAATTTAGAAGGCCATGAAGCGTATTCAATAATGTAGTAAAAAGAGCAGTGAGGTCATCCTATTCAAAGCAACCAGTTCTGGGGCAGAAGTAGGAGTTACTGGGTTCTCAAAGCTGCATTTATAATCCCAGCTCTACCAACAGCACCATCAATCTGAAGTGGGCTTTCCTCTTCCCTGCAGACCATCTCAGTGGCTTTAGTGAGGTAGTGACAAACTGCATTGGCATTTAAATCCCACGAAGACACCAAATATCTACATAGACAAGTTTGGTGGAAGAGTAGTTAACTTTTCTCTTGTCGCAGCCAACATAATACTTCCAAACCGTGCAGGGCTATTTTCATCTATGCACAACTGAACAAAGTACAAACATACTTATATGCTTCAAATATGCATTCATCTACAGCATCATTTTCAACACCCTGTCTATTACAATTTCTGTAACTGGGAGAATCAAACAACATTTGCTTTGGGCACTGAATTAATCAGAAGACAAGTTTCAGCTTGCTAACAGCTGAAATTTACCGACTGATTTACTCTTTTACACTACATTATGAAATACACCTTGATTTGCCAAAACAGTGGAATCAAGGGAATCAAATATAACATGTGTTCTTGAAGGTATATAGATTTGGCGACTGATATTTTAATATGATGCACATTTCTATCATTTTGGTTAAATGGCTAACCCAAATGACAAATAGGAAATTTAATGTCACCCCAGTGTGTATTGGGCATGCATTTCATGGTCCAATAGTAACACCAACATGTTTACATCTAAACAGTCGGAGAGGATATGACTTTATCAGAAATAATACCATGCACATTTGGTTTACTGGGTTGTAAATTATATGTATGAAATAAACATAGTCCATTGGTCTTCTAGTGTATTAAAGTGATATCTTAAGTTGTTATCCTGTTTTGGCAAAAAAAATCAGAACACTGAATAAAACTCCCAACAGTTGTTTCTAATAAGCAGAGATCTATTTTAGTAGTCATCTGAAGGTTTAGTTGTGAGCTTCAGATTTTGTGAACTCCAGATGTTGTGCAGTGTTTTTTTAAAGAACAAACCCTCCCAAAAGATTATGTACACTGGAACAGTAGTGGTAGCTTTCAGTATTGTAAAGAGATTGTTATATACAAACCTTTTGCTGTTTATCCTGTATGTAAGAAATTTCCTTTTTAGATCATATGTAAAGAGGAAAAAAGAGAACTGAAAAGGAAAAAAAAAATCAAAACATAAAAATGAAGCAACTCGATCTTCAGCATGTTCCTCATCAGCGAAGACTTGTGTTATGTAAATTGTGCCATGTTATTAAAAAAATGTGAACTAAGGAGCTTTTGAGGTGCTTATTTGTGTGAAGTGCCCAACATTTGTTAGTGAGGAGATATTGAGGATTTTTTCAAATTTAGTTATTTAAACTTCCAACATTTCAGGCTTATTCCTTAAAGTAGAACTAAAACCATTTTTTTAGCTGTTGCATAGGGTAAGGAAGGTTAAAACCCCTGACAACTTTTTTGCCATCTGTGTCTGGGGAGATTTCCCACCACTTGCTGTCCTATAGCCAACACAGGAAGTTGGGGAAATCCCTCCAAATTGAAGAAAATCCCTGCTGGTCAGCACTGGCATCCTCAATGGAAGATTTCCCATCTATTCCTGTTCTGATGACAACCCAGAACGTGGGATTTTCTTTCACTTTCACTGGTCACTTTCAACGGTCACCAGGACAAACAGAGAGGGTGACTCTCCCAAACGGGGATACAGACAGCAATAAAAACATGACATGTATTCTAATCCCTCTCTACTTCATCCAAAACTAAAAAAAACTAAAACTCATCCAAAACTAAAAAAAAAGTTTGATCTTCAGTTGCACTTTAAGGTAAATAGCAATATGCCAAGTGCAGTACCATAACAATCTGGTCTGGCTCATTTGCTATGGATTGCTGCAATTTACACATCTTTATTGCACTTTGTATTGCTTTATTGAATAGGTCTGTAATGTAGTGAAATTATCAGCTTTAAAGTATATCTAAATGTAATATATTGCAGCTTATAAATTTTTAGATTTGACGAGTGCATTCCTTTTCTTTCTCAAGCCCTTTACCCTTTTTTTCACCTGATAATAACACACTTCCTGTCCCTTCATGACTGTTACTAATTTCTCCATTGCGTCTATGAAGTGAGCCATGTTGTCACACTGGCTGGACTTGAAGCATGTCTGCATTTGTTTCTATTACATGGTGGATTGATGGGATTAGTTTACACAATAAATAAAGGTTCCTTGTGCTTTATTTTCAGCTTGTGACACGAAATTCAGGAGTTAGATCTTAAAAATGCATTCAAGTATCTTAACTATTAACAAAAATGTATCTTATTTGTGTATCACTCAGCTGTAGATCCTCGAATCATCTCTGAATTCATGCTGATACTGTCCTTCCTTCTGGAGGGTGGCTACTTTTGTCTCCCATGGTCCATGTTGGTTGTAAAGTAGACACCGCTCCAAGTTTGCTCCCGTGATGGATTATCATTTCAATACAAATTAGTAAAGTAAATGTGAGATGGTAGTTCATCCAGCAGTGTAGTCCACCGCTTCTAAGCTTGGAGCGTTGGCTACTTTACAACACACTGGGACCATAGGGAAAAATAGTAGCCACCCTGCAGAAAGGACAGTGTCAGCACAAATTCAGAGATGATTTCAGGATCTACAGTGAGTTATGCACAAATAAGGTACAGTTCTGTTAATAGGGTACTTGAATGCATTTTTAAGATTTAACTCCTGAGTTTTAGTGTCACTTTACAGAAACTGACAAGAACACTGCATTTCTGGCAAGGCCATCATGTATTTCCTGCACATACTGAAAATGCTCTTAACTTAAAATACAAAAACTAATGCAGCCACTGCAGCTAAAAATTAGTAGGCTGCAATATTTAACATTTTGTTTTTGGATTTAGATGCACTTTAAAGTGTATGTAAAGCTAAAAACGATTGGTTTTAGATTTGTATAAAGGGGTGAGGGTTTAGAACCTTTGTTTTTTATTGGTGAATTATCCTGGTGACTAGGGATGCACCAATACCGGCTTTATAGTATAGAGTTTGAGTACCAATATTTATCTTTCAGTACTCACCGATACCGGTACTTCTGGCAGCAAGGAGCTAGCTTCTCAGCCAAGGAGCTAGCTTCTTGGCTGGAAATCGGGCTCCATGCTGTTCGGCCGGCTCAATGCTGATTGGCTGGGACTAAAAGTGGATATCCTTCCACTTTGGCGAGATCTTTTTACATCCTGTTGTGTCTCTGGGACAAGAAATAAAAGGAATTCTCATGGGTCACAGACCGCAAAAAAAAAACAATTATATCCAAAAACCCCCAAAAAGTTTTGGATTTACATATGCTTTATAAATAATATGTATTAACTTTCTTGTACAAGCTGTTTACACATAATAAAATATATTTGGGTAGTACTATAGACACAGATTTTTAAAGCAGCAGTTACATCAAACTCAAATGAAACAGTAAGCTGAATTGAACAGAATAAATCTTTAAGGGGTCACATTGTTTAGAGTGTGCAGCACCTATTTAAACAGCATTGAAAACTAACATCATAGTTACATCTGCAACATAAAGCATTTTATCCTAGATAAAAGGGTCATGGAACATTTCCTGAATTATTTAGAATTTATCAACTGGAGAACAGCTGAGGCCTCGTTTTATTTAAATCCTAAAAACCAGCTGAGCTCCTCATAAAAAGGGATACGAGGACTACATGCAGCCCTAAAATATCACCAGGTTAACATGCCTCATCTACAGTGATGCTTGCATTGTCTGCCTGCCATTCAGCCATTGCAGCAAAAATTTAAACAAAAAGAAAGAAATGACATAGGTATTCTATTTACAAAGCTGGACAATTTGATTCCTAGCCTTACAACACTGGTGGATGGAGCTGGCTTTTAAGTGAATATTTCACAAGCCTGGGCAACCTGAGGATATTATGAAATAAGTGAATCTGTCACAGGCCTGGACAAACTGAGCATGATAAAACAATGAATGAAAATAAATTATCTTCCATGACAATTACAACCAGTAGATCCTGAGATATAGGCAGCTGAAATTCTATTCAAATATTTACTGCGCAAGCGTGAGCGTGTGCACACAGCTATAGAGGGCTGGTTCAGCCTTTGGCGATCCCAGGATGAGCGTCCCAGGACCGCGCAATCGTGTGCGTGTGCACACAGCAGTTGTTGCATAGCCCCATTGATTTCAATAAGGTTACATCCGCGCTGCAATCACTGAGAAAATGTACATGTACCTTTTTTGGCAACACGCAGTTTTTTAAACCGTGACTCTGCCCAATTGCACCTGTAGATTCAAGGCTGTAGAGGGACTACAAATCTTAGCAATACAGTATATAGCAATGCAAAACCCCAGCAGCTATAGAGTACAAATTTCAGCAATATATAATAAAGCAATGCAGAATGGCACTGGCTATAGAGGACTAAAAATCCCAGCAATGCAGATTATCATCAGCTACAGAGGACTACAAATCACAGCAATATATTATACAGAAACGCAGAATATTACCCACAGCT